TATTGAAAAGCTATTTGAACAGTTTTGCCGATCTAAAATGCTTGAAAATGCTTATTTTTAGCAAACGGCGTTTGAGCTTTAATCTGCGTTTTAACGCGTAAAACAGCATAAAACGACGAAATTTTTATTATTCGTTTTATTGGCTGTAGCACCATTTTGAACGTTTAAGCGATCAAAATCTTGAAAATGTATTTTTGGCAAAGGCACGTTTTGGCGGAGGCTTTAATCTGCGCGTAATGAAACGCATACAAAAACGACGGAATTTTTACATTATTCGTTTTTATTAATATTGCGTCTATTTGAACGATTTCAACGATCTAAAATGCTTGAAAATGCTTATTTTAGCAAAACAGCACGTTTTGAGCTTTAATCTGCGTTTTAACGCGTAAAACAGCAAAACGACAGATTTTTATTCGTTTTATTAATATTCGCTTCTGTTGAACGATTTCAACGATCTAAAATGCTTGAGAATGCTTATTTTAGCAAAACAGCGTTGCAGGCACAATAATCCGCCGTTGGCAAAAACAGCAGCATAAAAGCGACGAATTTTTTTATTATTCGTTTTATTAATATTGCTTCTTTTGAACGATTTCAACGATCTAAAATGCTTGAAAATGCTTATTTTAGCAAAACAGCACGTTTTGAGCTTTAATCCGCGTTTTAACGCGTAAAACAGCATAAAAACGACGAAGTTTTTATTATTCGTTTTTTATTAATATTACGTCTATTTGAACGATTTCAACGATCTAAAATGCTAGAAAATGCTTATTTTAGCAAAACAGCACGTTTTGAGCTTTAATCTGCGTTTTAACGCGTAAAACAGCATAAAAACGACGAGGTACCAGTATTCGTTTTTATTAATATTTGCGTCTATTTGAACGATTTCAACGATCACAAAATGCTTGAAATGCCCATTTAGCAAAACAGCACGTTTTGAGCTTTAATCTGCGTTTTAACGCGTAAACAGCATAAGCGACGGTACGTATTCGTGTTTTATTAATATTGCGTCTATATGAACGATTTCAACGATCTAAAATGCTTGAAAATGCTTATTTTAGCAAAACAGCACGTTTTGAAACGTCAGCGTTTTTAACGCGTAAAACAACATAAAACGACGAAATTTTATTATTCGTTTTATTAATATTGCGTCTATTTGAACGATTTCAACGATCTAAAATGCTTGAAAATGCTTATTTTAGCAAAACAGCACGTTTTGAGCTTTAATCTGCGTTTTAAGGCGTAAAACAGCATAAAACGACGAATTTTTATTGGCCGTTTTATTAATATTGCTTCTATTTGAACGATTTCAACGATCTAAAATGCTTGAAAATGCTTATTTTAGCAAAACAGCACGGTTTGAGCTTTATTCTGCGTTTTAACGCGTAAAAACAGCATAAAACGACGAATTTTTTGGTATTCGTTTTTATTAATATTGCTTCTATTTGAACAATTTCAACGATCTAAAATGCTTGAAAATGCTTATTTTAGCAAACAGCACGTTTTGAGCTTTAATCTGCGTTTTAACGCGTAAAACAACACAAAACGGCAGAAATTTTATTATTCGTTTTTATTAATAATGCGACTATTTGAACGATTTCAACGATCTAAAATGCTTGAAATGCTTATTTTATAGCAGAACAGCACGTTTTGAGCTTTATTCTGCGTTTTAACGCGTAAGAACAACGCATAAAACGACGAAATTTTTATTATTTCCGTTTTATTTTTGTGCGTCTATTTGAACGATTTCAACGATCTAAAATGCTTGAAAATGCTTATTTTAGCAAAACAGCACGTTTTGAGCATTAATCTGCGTTTTAACGCGTAAAACAGCAAGAAACGACGAATTTTTATTATTCGTTTTTTTATTAATATTGCTTCTATTTGAACGATTTCAGCTTGATCTAAAAATGCTTGAAATGCTTATTTTTTTTGCGAAACAGCGCGTTTTTGAGCTTTAATCTGCGTTTTAACGCGTAAAACAGCATAAAAACGACGAAATTGCATTATTCGTTTTATTAATATTGCGTCTATTTGAACGATTTCAACGATCTAAAATGCTTGAAAATACTTATTTTAGCAAAACAGCACGTTTGAGCTTTTAATCTGCACGTTTTTAACGCGTAAAAGGCAGCATAAAACGACGAATTTTTATTATTCGTTTTTATTAATATTACTTCTATTTGAACGATTTCAACGATCTAAAATGCTTGAAAATACTTATTTTAGCAAAACAGCGCATTTTGAGCTTTTAATATATGCGTTTTAACGCGGTAAAACAGCATAAAACGACGAATTTTTTATTATTCGTTTTATTAATATTGCTTCTATTTGAACGATTTCAACGATCTAAATGCTTGAAAATGCTTATTTTAGCAAAACAGCACGTTTGAGCTTTAATCTGCGTTTAACGCGTAAAACAACATAAAACTTGACGAATTTTTTTATTCGTTTTTTTATTATCCTGTGCGTCTATTTGAACGATTTCAACGATCTAAAAATGCTTGAAAATGCTTATTTTAGCAAAACAGCACGTTTTTGAGCTTTAATCTGCGTTTTAACGTAAAACAACATAAAACGACAGAAATTTTATTATTCGTTTTTTATTAATATTGCCGTCTGTTGAACGATTTTAACGATCTAAAATGCTTGAAAATACTTATTTTAGCAAAACAGCACGTTTGGGCTTTTGTTCTGCGTTTTAACGCGTGAAGCAACATAAAAATGACAGAAATTTTTATTATTCGTTTCTTATTTTTATTGCACGTCTATTTGAACGATTTCCAACGATCTAAAATGCTTGAAAATGCTTATTTTAGCAAAACAGCACGTTTGAGCTTTTAATCTGCGTTTTTAACGCGTAAAACAGCATAAAACGACGAATTTTTTATTATTCGTTTTTATTAATATTGCTTCTATTTGAACGATTTCAACTATCTAAAATGCTTGAAAATGCTTATTTTAGCAAAACAGCACGTTTTGAGCTTTTAATCTACGTTTTATCGCGTAAAACAGCATAAAAACGACGAAATTTTTATTGCCGTTTTTTTATTAATATTGCGTCTATTTTGAACGATTTCCAACGATCTAAAATGCTTGAAAATGCTTATTTTAGCAAAACGCCAGCTTTAATCTGCGTTTTAACGCGTAAAACGCTTATAAAAACGGCGAATTTTTATTATTCGTTTTTTATTAGCCTTGCTTCTATTTGAACGATTTCCAACGATCTAAAATGCTTGAAAATGCTTATTTTAGCAAAACAGCACGTTTTGAGCTTTAATCACTGCGTTTTTAACGCGTAAAACAGCATAAAAACGACAATTTTTATTATTCGTTTTTATTAATATTGCTTCTATTTGAACGATTTCAACGATCTAAAATGCCCGAAGTAGCATTTTGTAAAGCAGCACGTTTTGAGCTTTAATCTGCGTTTTAACTTGCGTAAACAATATAAAACGACGATTTTTATTGTCGTTTTTATTAGCCATCAATGCTTCTATGTGAACGATTTCAACGATCTAAAAATTCTTGAAAATGCTTATTTTAGCAAAACAGCACGTTTGAGCTTTTAATCTGCGTTTTTAACGCGTAAAAACATAAAACGACGAATTTTTATTATTCGTTTTTTATTACTATTGCTTGTATTTGTAAGATTTCAACGATCTAAAATGCCCCACAATATAGACAACCAATGTTACACTGTAGCAAATCAATGCGTATTGCCCAAATAAATTAATGTACAAATTGCATGTGTTGAAAAACCCACATACACATGACACGAATACGTGTTATCCAGTGCTATCGCTTCATATGCTTTGCCGGTCACGGTGTTGCACAGCGTAACACCACTCGAAGCTCACAACGCGCCGATTCAAGAGGGAAATATATTATGTGCGCGCTCGAGGAACATGCTGCACGCACCGAGGGCTATTAGCATTATTAGGGCATTTGGGGCCGAGGAGAATCAATGTGTGCGCGCTAACCATACGCGTAAACATGATTGAAGCGCCCCGATTGCGCTGCATTGAGCAGTAAGTATTTTTCCAACCATCGCGGAAGCACTGCGCGCATAAACACGATTGAATCGAATTAAAATTACACGCACTTCGAAAACAATTAATGTTATAAGCACTCATACATTTTATAATCCCTAATATTTATATTACACATGCAAACCTGTTCAAACAGTAGCAGTTAGGAAAATAAAATAAACTTGTAAGATTGTTTGACGTGCAGGTATACCAACTCAACGGCCATCTTGTTTCCTATTGTTATCCGTTTAGTGTTTGTTTGTTTTCGTACCGCGCTGCTTTCAAGTTTTACTTTCATTGTTACATTGCATTACGCTGGTTTGGAGTTTTCAACGTACGTAATTATGCAATAATACAATTTCTTTTGTGTGTAACAATACAAAAATATGCAATAGTTTGCTTCCGCTGTTTCTGGTCCGGTTTTGCGGCTGCGAATTTTGGGCACACTTCAGTGCGTCGCTTGTTTTGCAATGTTTGTGTGTGTGTTCACGGCGGTGAGTTTTTTTCGGCAAAGAGGCAGAGAGGCAAAGATCAAAAGTAGCGCAGTACAGGGTCCACGGCTAATCTGTTTACCGGGGGCTGATACATCGACCCGGATCCGGGATTCCACGCCATTATATGTTTGCGTCTTGTCCGTTTTGTCGCTGACCACTCAACTCGAAAGGAAGGAAGTCTTATCCCACATAAGCACCGCTTCATAAACTTTCAATACTTCTATGTAGCAAATAAAAAAGTGAAAAGTTTAAATTTGAGGTTATATAAACGGAAATTAAAGATTAAAATTAAAAAAACTTGAAAATCATGTTCTTCAAGGTTGAATTTAATTAAAATAAATGTTTTTTGGCATTATTTATGTAACTTTTTGAATTAATATACAAAATTGATTCAAAAATGAAGGTCCCAATGTGATGTTTAATATAGGCAACCAAACTTAAACATTAAAATTAAACATAAAATGAAGAAAAACATTGATTATCTGTCAAATAACATTTATTTAACTAATAATAGTAGTCGAATATAGTACAGCATTTCATTTCATTTCATTTCGTAACCTAGAAATCCAAAAATCCATAGGTTTGAGATCAAAAACCGAAGAAACACATTTTCACGGCCATTTTGTACAATATTTGCATAAATCAGCAAGTCATCTCTTTTCATTTATATAATTATTATATGTATTGCACGTTTAAGACTTTGTACACTTAGATTTACTTTGATAACACAGATTCACAAAGCGGCCATTGACTTACACTTTAACACTTAATCATTCAGTGCGGAATGTTCATACTTGATATTTACACGAAGATTGTTCTTTAGTAAGGTAGGACCGGTCATAATAACTTCCCACTGCTGTAGATTGACACAGGCGGACGTGAAGATTGTGCTGGCGGCGGCGGTGGTAAAAGAAACGGACTAATGAAATGTAAAGAATCACGATCTCTGCCCCCGTGGTGATGATGATACATATTCGGGAGGTAATCACGCTCGCCGGGGATGTCACCCATTGTTGTCTCATGCAGTTTACGCATGTGTTTTTTAAGGTCAAAGTTACGACAGAAACCTTTACCGCACACCTGGCACGTAAAGGGTTTCTTATCATTGTGTGTATGCATATGGAAAGTAAGATTATAAACTTGATGAAATGCTTTGGAGCAAATCGTGCATTTATACGCTTTTTCTCCACTGTGGGTCAATTTGTGATTCTTGTAGTTGCCTTTCTGGTGGAAGCCTTTCCCGCAGTACTCGCAGACGAAGGGCTTGTACCCGGCGTGAATCCGCGCGTGCGTGTTCAACGTCGATGAGCGATTGAACGCCTTCCCGCACACGTGGCACTTGTGCGGCTTCTCCGACGTGTGGATGATCTTATGCCTGCAGAGTGTCGATGCCTGCCGGAAGCCTTTGCCGCAGATCTTGCAGACGAAGGGCCTGGCGCCGGTGTGCACCGGCATATGCCTCGTGAGATTGTAGTGCGCGTTGAACACCTTGCCGCATTCGCCGCACTCGAAGCTCTTTTGTTTGCTCTGATTGGCCGCCGGCGGGCTGGAGGTGGTCGTGGGGGCGGAGGCGGCACCGGCGGCGGCCGGGCTAACAGCAGGCGCGTCGCTCCGCGGATCGATACGTGTCTCGACCGCGCTTTTCGCCTGAGCAGCGATCTTACTAAAGGGAGCGGCCGAGGAGGCGGCATCCTCCGGGGACATACTGTACACCGACACCGATGTAGTCGCGACACACATCAGCTGGCTGGGGTAGTACACCAGCGGGTATTGCAGGAACTCCGGACCACGCAGCATCGACGACGGCACGTATTTCTTGAACGCCGATTCGAGATTCTGATACGGCAAGCCAAGATGATCGAATTTATTGTTATTATCCAGTTTGCGTTTGGTTGTCTTTGCGTCAGGTTCCATAATTCGCGCGATGCTGAAGTTGAGTTGTGCCTTTGCCTCCGTGACGGTGACGTCGACGTCCGTGCCGGTTGCCATCTCGGTGGTGGTTTCGCTCTGCGAACAGAACACAGCAAACATAAATCATTTTCGAGTGTGTGTACGAGCCAAGGGGTGCACAAAGTGGAAGGGAGCCGAGGGGGATTAGGCGCAAACAAGCCGAATGATCCGGCGTGTCGTCGTTGCTGACGGTCACGCCCCCGTTTAATGCGGCTATAATAACTGACAAAGCCTATTATTCGAGGCGCGCACACACCGCCGGACGCAGGATGCGTACGGACGTCATGAACACACTCTCCGCCGGGGAGCAAGGGCTGCGATACTGCCGGTTTTGTGGGCGCGCGCGCGCCTAATCACAGACAATTAACGCCGCCGAGAGTTATCTGCTGCTGATCGACACGCTTATTGTCAATCCCGCCACGTTTTTCATTCATTCACACTCCGCATTCAATTCAAAACTCTTCAATCTGGCGAAAAATAAGTTTTTACGTTATTATTACTTAACTACCAGTGAAAAAAAGTATAGGCAACCAAATATACAAGTCAATAACATAAATATCTCAATCTTGACGCTCGCCCCCCCAACCCTATACATCATCATCGGCAGGCAATCTATTTCGTCTGCCGGCGTCAACACAATGAACACGATGTCAATTCAATTCAATCGCGTTCGGAATTGGATCGCGCGCCGCAAATTATTAGCCCCATAAATCGCTCCGAACGATTCCAACTTGTGCGATGACATCCAACCAGTGCTAATACGATTTTCGTCATCACACGCGTCATTATCATTCTTGTCAGCATGTCAGTCGCAAAATGCAGTCGCAAATTACACTCCGATCATTATTTTTCCCATTACCAGCTTAATATTAAGGTTATGTTCGTATTGCACGACATTTGCGCAGAGAACAAGAAAAATAATACAACGGAAATGCTTGTGCTCTTATAAGATTCTTCAGGCACGTGCCCGGATGCAGGTCTATTCATCAAACCAGAAGCACATTTTGATATAATCAAGTTACCATCAACAATTCTTGATTATTCATATCAACATATCGAGTTACTTGTAATCCACGCCTTTACGTCCGAACACCTTGACGCGGACGCGTGCCGGTTTACTTTTCGTAGACAGATGTCTTCATCGCGTATTGTCCATTGTTCTTTTTGCTTTTCTTGAGAGGACGCCAAACCGGAAGCGAAGCCAAGCCAATTTCGGGCGCGCGCAGAAAACAATCAAAGCAAGAGGGCGTGAAAAGTACTGCTAGAGTTCAAGAAACAGCTTGCAGAACGGAAGTGAGACTGGAAGTCTACCAAATCTTCGACGTGCTGAATAATTCCCATTTCGAAATCTTTGTTTACGATGAGGGGAAAGAAATTTTTCGTTTACGCGCAGACGTCGGCTGCCATTGTTGATCATATTAGAGCGGCTAACCTGCTGGCGGAGTCGGAGACGGCGACATTGAATAAACACTCGAAAAGCTTTCGAGCTTTTCACTCGTCGTCTTGCTCTCCAAGTCGTCACGGCACGGAATTTTGCCAATTGTATTCCGACGCTAGACTCACTTTTACTTCCATATTACTCAAAAGCACAAAAATTCAGTTATGACATTACAGGAATCTGTAATTTTACAACGCCAGTGGGTATAATAACATGTACTGCGGGTTGCCTTGTTAGGAAAAAACAAATTGGCATCCCGCAAAAGAATTTCCCGCTCCCCTTTTTCCAAACGTTTGATTCCGAGGCTAGAATTCGACAAGTCGTAGACAGATGTTGTTATAACAAGTACGAGTCCGTGTGTATTCCGCCGCTCCCTGAGTTTTTACGTTGAAATGTACAATGCGAGCGCTCGCATTCAAACACACAGCGCAGTGTGTTATTAACGTTTCGGCGCAAAGTCGCCGGGACGTGATAATGACATATGCTTCGGGTAAATCGAAGAAAACCGCAGGGGAACGCCGAGCGAGAGTGAATTGATGCTGCGCAGCACCGCGCACCAGCCCTCGGCGGCGACAATGCATAATCGCCGCGTTTAAAATCGCACCCACTGCGAACCCACCGGGGGACGCAAATTCTCTCTCTGTGAATATGTGTATGTGTAAAAGTACAAATGCGGTGGCGGTGTGATGTGTCTTTTGTTTACTACCGGAAGAGGAATCAACATACAGAACAAAAAAACGGCGGAAATCAAAATGGCGGCGATATTTCAACATTAAACCCGCAGACGCCATTTTGTGTACAAGTAACATATACGAATATATTCAGTTTCAGTTCGGTTTTTGTTTGAGGGGAGCTTCCCTCACGGCGTTAAGTTGATCCGCACGCCGAATAGTTAAAAGGTAAATGCGGCGCAAATATTTGGCGAAGATAATTACAGCCGCGCCCAAGAGACACGCCGCAATTGGAAAATGTTCACCATCACCACACCGCCGTCGGCGTGACTTATACTCAGCATTATGCATCGATTAATGCATTTATTTTTAATGTTATGATAAATTCTCGACGGGTTTCTTTTTTCTTTTCTATTTTCAAGCAAAACTTCCATAAATTACGAGCGCATCGCGTGTTGTATTCAAGATATATTATCGTAAGTCTTGGAAAGTGGTAGGTAGACTCCCAGTCTTTCTCGGCCATCGATCCGTTGGCCATCTTGACGTTTAATGCCCACGTCGTGAATATTTTATCAAAAGCAGCGCTTTTACGAGTTTTCCTGCGCGCTTGCGTGCGCTTTGCGCTTTCCGCATAGTGGTTAACGTTAAACGACGGGCGGCGGCTTGATAAAACTGATAAACATCCACACATAACCTCAACGTCTAACCTTAAATCACACAGCGAAATGATTTCGGCGGCGTTTAATTGCAACTAAAAACGTACCTACACACACAGTTGGCGTTGTATTGTGCGGCAATAAATTGATTCGATAGCCAATTGACCTGCACGTCGCGCCCCCCACGGTGATATGGGGGTGGCGGCGGCGCCTCCACCAATCGACATTGACGGTTGTTGGCAGCCGAGGCACTTCAATAAGCCGATCATAATGCATGCCGAAACGACGCCGGCACGCGAATACTATAACGCTCGATAAACTGGCTTTTCCGATCGAGCAAATCGCGCATGACACGAGCACCCAATATGAAGTTAATTTGCATTCATGCTCAAATATTCAAATACCGAAACTGCATTTTCATATAAATTCCTTGCAAATTAACATCACAAAAATAAACCACTTACAAATATACACAAATAACCTTAAAATGTTTGCAACTATAGGTATAGGAAATTGACAGCTACATAACCTATTTTTATAGAAATTTAATTAAAACAAACACTAGTTTCACTTGTGGTTGATTCTTGCGGCTCAACACGCACGAAATTGCTAGTAAAATTAGTAGGAAACCAACGGATGCACATAACGCACCCTTAGGTTTTAACTTTTGCCCTGCGGCCCCTGCGGCAATTCCGGCTTACGCTTGGTTTGCATGCAATGCATGTTGAACGCCCCCTCGTTACTGACAACCGGCAATTGTTTCGTATTAAGTTGTATAAGTTATGAGCCGTGTTTAGTGGCGTCGCTCGTGTCACATTTTATATGTGTATCATTTGTTTCGAGTGGCTGCACCCCCATCGAAACAATTTAGGCGGCGTGGCGTGTCATAAACCGTCGTTTTCGCGTGGTTTGCGTAATAACTTAATTGCGGAAGCAACATTTTATTTACTCATCGTTTTATGAGTGCATTTTGGTTTATGATGCGTGAAATTGGTAATAAAATAGTAAAAATATGATTAAAACGGTTTAAAATTTGTTTTTAGGTAATTTGAAGAGTAATTCTTGACATTTAAACAATTTTTTGACAGAAAATTAACTTTTACAATAATTTTTCACGGTTTTAATCAAGAAACTGTCAATTTGAGTCGTTTCTGTCAAAATCGTGGTTATATTAATTCACAATCAAGTAAAATTGGTTGCATACAATGAAAATCACATAATTCATCATTAAAACCCCGAAAAAATGCAAAATTATAGGTTATTACCGTGTAAATCAAAGAAAATTAACTAAAATTCATGAAAGTATGCATTTTGCATTCTTATTCTTTCCAATTTACTAAAAATAACCAACTCAAAAGTAAATATACCCCCTAATTGTATTTAGTTGTAGTAAATTTTTGTTTTCACTTCTAAAACAAAGCAAAAATTGCAGCCTGAAGTCCCCCCGCGAATTTACCAAGATTTGCGACCACTTTGAGCGATACTTGTGCGTCGCACACGGAAGACTGACGGAAAAAACAATAGACAAGAGCCGTGCGCTCCCCAGATGCATTGCGCGCACTTAAAACCTGCGTGCACAGATTGTGCAGCTCGCTCGCCACTCATATTCATACGCAAACATGCACAATGCGGCGGATTTATTATATTCAATCAATATTTGCACTGCGTTCGCATTGTGTGCCACGAATGTTGTGTTTTGTCCTCTTCGAGCCGATCGACCACTTAGTATGCTTTTGTTTCGCTTGTTTATCGCTGGCTTTTTGTAGAACACATCAATATTTTCAACTTATGTTGTTATTCAAGTAATAATAGATGTAGAAAAGTGAAATAAATTGAATTACTCAAAAAGTAATTAAGGTGAAGTGATAATTGTTTCAGAAATAGGTTTAGGATTAAATTCTGTATTTAATTGAGGTGAATTTGAACAGAAATTTTAATTAATTAAGTTAATATCTTAAATTTTATAAAATTGATGTTTTGGAGTAAAATTTTTATTTATTTCTGTTCAAAAAGTCATAAATAGGTGTCAAATTTACTGTAAAATTAATTTTTATTAAAATTATTATTGTTTCATGACTATTTTTTGAGTTTTTAATGTAAAACTACCGAAAAACAACGTTTTTACTAAAAAAATTAATTTTCTTCATCTTATGATTTTATTCAATAATAATAGACTTAGAAGAGTAAAATAAGTTGAATTACTTAAAAACCAATTAAGGTGAAGTGACAATTGTTTCAGATATAAATTTAGAATTAAATTCTGTATTTAATTCAGTAGAATTTGAACAGAAATTTTAATTAATTAAGTTAATATCACCAATTTTATGAAATTGATGTCTTTGGGTAAAATTTTCACATATTTCTGTTTAAAAAATCATAAATAGCTGTTAAATTTATTGTAGAATTAATTGTTTTTAAAATTGTTACTGTGCCATGACTATTTTTTGAGTTTTTAATGAAAAACAACCCTAAAACAACGATTTTATTAAAAAAATCAATTTATCTTTAATTAATTCCACATTTCTTAATTTTTGCATAATTTCTACATTAAATAATGCATTTTTAACTAATTATGTCAAGAAACACTCAAAAACAATACCTAAATACTTCCACTGTTATTCAATAATTCCAGGCAAAATACATAAAATTATGCATGAAAGTAAATTCCCAGCATGTTTTGACACTAATAGCGTTTATAAACGCATCTAATAACCGATGCGCTCGGGGAATTAAACGCGTAATCGCGTAAACTCGCAGCACGCGTCCTACACGTAATTAATAACACAATTTCCCGTGTTAAATCATAAGCGCGACCGAACCGGAAGCGATAAACTACCAGCGTTCATATTTCCACTCGCACACGCGTCCGATAACCATCAAAATATTGCAGTTAATATAATAAACGCGACGCATTGTAAATCACACAACGAAACTTCTGTCAACACTCATTCACACTCACAAAAATGACTAAACATGCAAATCGGTAGAAATTTACATAGTTGAAATTTGTGACCGGTGTAAGGGTAGTAATTTTTATGTTTTCCAGCGCACATCCGACAAGCGATAAGCATTTCGGAATTAATTGCCGTTATCGCAGCGTGACGCCCTCGCAATATCGAAAATTATTCGAAAGGGTGAGCTTTATTAATCAGGGGCGCGTGTGAATTAATACCACATACACGAGAAACAACCCTTGAGGTGAAAACTAGTTAAATTAAAGACGCTTACCGTCAATTTACGCAAATTGAAACTTTAGCACATAATATCCAAGTGTTTTGCGAGTGATTTTGATGTAGTTTAGCAGAAAATTTGTTTGTCGCACAATAATTTCAGTTCGCAGCACATTTGTTAATAATAAATGATCACGCCAAATGCTCTCTTCGCGTTTTGCACTTTTCGAAGCTCACATGCACATTATCAACGAGTATAGTGCGTCGCTGATGCCGGCTGCCCTTGTGTGCCGTATGCCTTCTGCCCCGACGGCCTGAGGGCGCGGCGCAGCGCTCCAATCGCACATTGTTCATTTCATCGCCAACCGAGTCTGTAACCAATCACGCGCCGTATTTGCAGCGCCCTTTTGCCGTTGTAGGCGGAGCTGCGAAACGTACCCCTCTGGGGACGACGCGCGCCAGCTGCACGGTGTACACCTTTTTGGCTGTGCGCGGATGCGCGCTTCGCCTCTTCGGATACCATTTCGAAGCTTCACCTGAGTTCGCCGTCTCCACAACGCACAACCACACACAACACATAGGTATATCTATATGTGACTATAGTTGCAGTCAGGGCTAATCAAACGAAAAGCCTTTTTGGTTCCATGAATGTGGTGTAGTCTGGTGTGCAAGTGATAAGATCACACCTCGCTTTGACTTTGACTCGGTGTATAGCTGTGCATTAGCATTAATGAAGGCCAGGGATCAAAAATACAAACAGAACACTTAATGTCTTAATAAATTCAGGCTCCGGCGACGCACCGAGAGCATTTCGGTGTTTTTGATGAAGGAATCTCTAAAAAAACCCGCGCGCGGCTTTGTGTGTTGTGTGTTCTGGTACGGCCCTTTGCGCTGCGCGTGTATTCAGATTGAAGATTTCAAGTGCGCACTCCATTCTGCATCCTTTTGTACAGGGCGCGTTTTTGATCTTTCCAACCACCACAATTTTATTCCATATTTTCTTCTACCGAATTAACAACACCGCCAAAATAATAAAAAAAAAAACCTAAAAGAGATTATGTTATTATTGAATCAATTGTTAGTGTAGATATATCTACGGATACTTGAGACGTTAGCAAAACGTTAATTAATTTAATCAGCGTCAATAATTCTCGAGTGTTGTCTTTTAACGTTTCTCGTCCGCGGGTGATGTGTCGGCGGATGCATTCGTAGATCTAGAGTGTCTCTTCCATCAAAAGATGATTGCGCGCCACGCGGCACTCTCCAATTATATTGACGAGGCGGCACCTTTTGCGCCAAAGCACCATCCCCGTGTTTGTTTGATCTCGTGCAGTGCGCAAACATTCAAAAAGTCATCACATTATCTCGTCATTCATCGGCGATGCGAATAAAATTACATATTTTATAAGTTATCATAGATAATGTTGCGTCTCTGCGTCTGCTCCACTTGTTCCTCTCGCGCATGAGTGAGCATCACGAATCAAATTGCAACTTGAGATAATAAAAAGCATCATTACAATATGAATACTCGGCTTATTCGAGATGGCAAGATGGCGGCCCGGGTTATTAACTTCGCGTTTCATATTTCGACCCTCTCAACCCCTTCAAACCGTGCGCTTGATTTAATTCGAAATATTCGCAGGATTCGCTTTATTACATTTTGTATATTATTTACGTTTATTTTAAGTGTATACATATTTCGTAATATAATACATCGAACCGAATTAAGTTATGCCTTTTGTCTATTGTTCCACATTCGTTTAGTGATCGTTTTGTTGTTCAGTTTTGTTTTACACACAGGTATGAATATTAGCCACCGAATTTTGCGCTCCACGTTTTTAGTTTCATTTCATTTTCTAGAAAATACAAACATTAAAAATATATGTTTAATATTTATGGTATGGTGTGTGTGTGTGTGTATGTTCCGTGTTGTGTGTTCAGTCGGCGTTCGAATGTCATACAATGAGAAACGTTTTTTTTTCCTTTTACATACAAGTTTTGATCAATAAATTCGTGGTGTGTGGGTACACACATCTGGGTTTCTTTTTTTACTGCGTCTTTGATTAAAGGTTAAGTTCTGCTCTGCGCTTAAACATTTAAAAACGTCACAAAAAACTTACAGTCAACATTCAATATATGCAATAGATGCGTGTTATATATAATTAGAACTTTCTTTCTCTTTCATTTTCCTCTCATTGTGTGTTTGCGACGCAAGTATATAACAACGGTTTACAGTAATTACTAAAGTCCGATAGAGTCGTATTGTATAGGAAAAAATGCTTGTCTATATCCTTGTCTTTAGTTAATTAACGATGTGTAATTGATTCGCGCGTAAATCGGTTAATATAAAACATTGTAATTAGAAGTAAGCGTTGATTCCATGCTGGACGTTGCGGTTGCGTTCCACGAAGTCAGTGTGAAGTGACTAGGCGGGTGACTAATCTAGCGCGGCGCCAATAAATACACGAATAGACAAATTAAAAACAATAAATGATTAGTAATACATACAATTCCAATTAATACACTGAGCGCACCAAGCGGGTGGTGGCGCTAAGGTAAGTGTAAATGCGCGGCGCCACCAAGAATGCGGAAAGCAAACATGAAAAAATCAAAATGCGCATCTCCTCCACGATCGTCGCATAATAATAAATATAAGAAAATATATTTTGTATTTAGGGGTAGGTTGGGTTGGTTGGTTGGTTTTACTGACTGACCAGTTGAGTGTGGCAAAATGGCCGCCGGACGCCATTTTGACGGCACATGCTCTGTGTGTTTGTGTGTTTCATACTTTTTTTTTCTTCTTGACTAGGGCACATTTTACAGGCGCGATAAGACAATTCGTTCAAATCCGCTTCGCGATTTCGGGATTTGTTTGGATTAGTCGACGCCTCATGCGTCCGTCTCGCCGCCCTTCAGTCGGAGTCTTGCGAAATCTTCGAAGATGATATCGTCGTTGTTCTCATCTCTGCAAAAACTCAAAAATTAGCTTTTTATTGGCACACAAACCACAAAACAATTGCATACGTGTCGAGTTGTATAAGATTCGTATCGTCGGCGGAATTTGCGCCCATTTCTCTGCTTTCTCTTCGGGACGAGTCCAGCGGGGGTAGTAATTCCTCTTCAGGCTTAGGATGCATTAGGATAAAAGGCAATTCAGCCACTAAATCGCTGTAAAAACAACATAAAACACCAAATTAGCATACATTCCGTGAATTATTCACGTTTTTCATGAAAATCTTACCCTCCAAGAGCGCCTAAATACAATTTCACTTTGACTTTGTACTGCACGATGATGCCTAGGTTCTCGCGTTGAGCAGGATCAGCCACTCTGCGTTTTACAACAATAATTAGCATAAAAATAGCGTTTACTCCGCGCAAAACGGTAAATAAAGCAAAGAAACATTCCAAACAAAGCCAGCAGCATGCAAAATCTATTCTACCAAGCCAGTGCGTATTAATACTCCACTATTGTTCGTGTTCATGTTAATATTCTAGATGGCGTTGAGTAATAGCTATAGAGTATAAGAGCAGCAACATTCAGGGTTGTTACAACATTCATTGTGTTGTGTTTGTTCGAGTTTAAACTTTAAAGAGGAAAACTAAGAGGAAATAGAAATATATGTACATACAGTTTGTAAGAAGCATGTGTGCTAGATTATCCTTTGACAGGTGACATCAAATAGAAAATAAAGGCAACAAAGTGAAATAAGAGAACAGCGATAATGTTTAATATTTATAGAGAGGATATGTGTGGTTGTTGTTTGTGTTTTGTTTTCGGTCGCTCCGTGAGAGACTTACAGGGTGCTCGATGCTAAGTTAGTATCTTCGTGCTTAAGTTGTCCGTCCAGCGCCAGGCCCCACTTGTCCTTGTTATTCGCCAAGAGCGGCGTCAGCGCAAAGACTTTGCTCAGGGTGAAGCCGGGGCCAATGGGGCAGCCTTCTCTGCCCAATCACACCACACTTTAGTCACCAGCCAATACACACACACACAAATGATCAAATACAAAAAATCAAAACGTCAACTACGCCCAATATCGAAATATATATATATGATAGATCCGCACCAGCGATTGTGAGTGTGTGTGTGTTGCTGCGTCCTATACACCACAGCGTACTCCTAGAGGCATGCGACTCGTGAATGAAAGTTACAACCAACACCGCAAATATATGTAAATAGTATGAGTGCGCCAACAAATCTAAAAGAGGAAGTTTCTCAACCCGCCGCAGCTGCGCAGCCGCACTCACATTGTCGACGACGCCAGATTCGTGTCTTCGTGCTTTAGCTGTCCGTCGAGTGCCAGGCCGCGTTTGTCTTTGTTGTTGGCGAGCAGCGGACGTACCGAAAACACCTTCGACATGGTAAAACCAGGCGACACCGGACAACCTGCTCTAGATAATATCGCAAAACATACGTCAACAAACAAAGAAAAAAACAAGATGGCTGCCGTATAACCTGAAACTATTTTCGGGAAACACAAAAACCAGTCGAATCAAATACTTACTCGCTGTCTGTTTCAGCAACAGTGCATTTATACTGCGCAGTGGAGAAGAGACAAATGTCGGCAAACTGTCGCACGCTGACTTTAATCTTCTTCACGGTGCGATTCGAATTGTTTGCTATGTGAACATTCACCGCAATATTCTCGCCGTGATGATAGAGTTCCTTATCTAGCGACGCTTCCAAGTGGAGCTTGTTGGGACTCATCATAAACTCCTTACTCACCTCCACGGATGGCTGCTCACCTTGTTTACTCGGTGCGTACATTATCTTTCGTATTGCTAATCTGTAAATTTATAAAATCAAAACAAATTTCCCCAAAATTTGATTAAAAAAATACCTGACAGAGTTGCGTTTGTGCGGTTTATCGTCCTGCGTCTCACCCACAAACGCCTTCAGCTCGTAATCAACCCCGCATGGTTTTCCAGTGTCGCCAGGAGCAGGTTGCAGGGTAACAGAGGCAGGACAATGCGGCGGCAACTCAAAATAGAATGGAAACGCGTTTGGTCCCAACTTTTTTATAAGCCTCTCCTAAAACACACACGTAAATCTATTTAGAACACAACCTAACATAACCCAAGTCGCAACATTTTGTTTCATCACGTAGCAAACGCAATAAAACTCACGAGTAAACATTGTAACACTCTCACAACAATGTAAAAGCATGACACAACCCCTAATTTTATTACACTATCCACTCACTGCGAATGGCAGTTAATCAGGAAGTGGAAACGAGGTCAAATTACCTGTAGTCGTGTGAGCGGTCGTTTCGTCGCGTTCGGGTCCTGCGGATAAATCTGCTCGGCAGCCAGATACAAATCCTTGCGGAACGTCAAGCCCAGAACGTCGAGATCCTCGCGTCCGTAACGAAACGCCGCCAGGACATGCCCGAACACTTTGCGATCCTTTACGTACTCGGGATCAATGAGGACGACGCCGTCGATCGGGTCCACGTTCGATATGTGATCGACAAAGTCACGTTTGCCAAGATACACCGTGATTTTGCCATTGGGCGATGACTTCTTGAAAACTCTACAACCGAATAAACTTGTAATGCAACCAGAGATTATTATATTGTTAATATGTTTATTAAATGTTTATTTTGAAGGTGTTTATTACCTGGTCGCTTGTCGCTTGCTGCTGGTGTCGTCCATGTCCGGCGACGGTGGTGCCAAACCGGCGGCGCTCTCAGGGCTGCTGCGGGGAGGCGCCTGCACCTTGCCACCCTCCACGATGACCTGCCGAACACAATACCAGAATGAAATTTGGAACGACGCACACAAACTATTTGTTTTATTTAATTTCGTTATCGGTATGCGCACGCGTGTGTGTCTAAACAAATACCTTGAAGCTTTTGCGCCGTGGGGGCTCCGTATTTAAGCGTAATTGCGAAGCGTCCAGCACCCCGCCAGCCCGCGAGCGTTTCGGCTTGCGTAATGAGGCTCTGTATCAACAAACAGAGCGTTAAAGCCGCGCGTTCAAGAGTTTTTCGACGCGCGGCTGGGTCGAGTGCGGGCGGCACTTAAAACTTAAAATAGCAACAACGCGATAATGATAATAACCAGCAATGTCGGCGTGCGCGCCACACTACACCAGTACTTATCCATTACAAACTATCAACTATGTACTAGCCGGCGAGAGGCTGGGAATTTAATGTTATAAACAAACATTCGCGTGGCACACATGTGCCTCGCCGACATGTGTCGCTGGAAAAACATCTGTGTGCATGTAAATTGCGAATTTTCGCACGGCGTGACGCAAAACGGGTGTGTACACCGCGTGTGCTCTCGAATGACTCTAATCTAATCAACTAAAAACATAATTTAATTAATCATTGACTGGTACGCCCCGGAGTTATGCGAAATGCATGCATGCGTGTATGATGGGTTGCCAGTTATCTAACCTGTTGTTGCAGTTCAACAAGTATATTGGGTTGCATATAATTGAATTGAATTTCGTAATTAATTAGTGTGCTCTTACGTATTTATGTTTGCAGATGAGAGTGGAACGTTATTCCCAACACGGCGGGCGTGTATCAATGACGTGCGCGGCTTTCCGGTGTTGATTCAGTGTTGACTCTCGACCGACGACAAATTGCTAATAAAGCCGTCGTCGTCGTCGTGTTGTGTGTTGCCGTCGATGCGTTTCCACCTTTTCCGTTTCTCTTCCTTCCGTCCGCTGTCCGCGCGCTCAGCCGCCGATTTCAATCCACGCGCGGTGGTTCATTAACGTATTGTGTGCGCCGGCATTGTGTGCGCGTCGCGACAAATTTCACCCTCGCACAGCCAGACAATGCCGCCCCGCAATCGGCGCGATCAGGTGCGCTCGCACAATGTAAACACGTACGTTCAGCATATACGCATACACTGCCGTCGAATTGCGTCTGCAATTAGGCTGGCCTAGACGCGACGCACTTCACTAACGACGTTATCGCCGTTATCGCTATTTATACGGAAGTTGTGGCACGCCGCTAACTTAGTTGTTGCGATTGGGACCTTCTGCTGCTGGCGAGCATGCGGCACCCGGATGACTGACTCACTTGCACTAAACGGCGGCGCGTTCTTCAACTGTTTATCACGATCGCGACGCGGCCGGTCGCGTGTTTGCGCATATTCGTGCATACAAGTACCGAGAAGACGCGCTTGATCATCAGTCGATACTTCCGATTGTTGATGAATAAATTACGCGCAACGAGCTGAACATCACTCGGGCTTGCAAGTGGAAGTTGTGCGGGTTCCGTAAATCCGTACTCGTGAACGACACAGGTGGCGCCCCCACGAACTAACATCATTTGTTTTCATTACAACCCAATTCAAATTTTGCAAGTTTTAAACTAAATTACCATGTTATAATATTAAACATAAACTTATTTATATATTCAGCACGTTTTACAGTGGAAAATGTATGTGATATACTAAAGTAACTGTGGTTTTATCGCGTGTATTATTAGGGTTTTATCAAATTAACTATGACGCAGTTCGTGTTTCTTCGCAGAACGAACGTGTCAGTACAAGGTGCGCATGCGCGTGGTAAATCGCCGCCGTGGCGTCGTCGTCCACACACACCGCCGACTCGGCCGTTCGCTCGGCTGTCACTTTCTGTTTGTAGTACGTGTTTTTTTGATACATTTTAAAGCTAAGCCGGGGGGCGCCGCCGACGTACAACCGCCGCCACCAATATACACCCGCACGCCGCCTCCGTTGCCGCCGCCGCGATGACCACATCGTCCGAGTATGGCAATCCACTACGGAAGTTCAAGCTGGTTTTCCTCGGCGAACAAAGCGGTGAGTAGAGAATGCCGGGGCGCAAAAAACACATCATCCGCAAAACGCGCCGTCGAATCAATATTACCTCGCCGCACATTAGCGGCATCAATTATGCATAGGTGTGACTCTGGAGAGGCCCTTGCCCTTCTCGCGCACACACGTCCTGCAAAACGTCCTGTCACCCTGCCACCTAGTTTCCACACACCTAGCAAACATATGCATGGGTGGGTGGGTCGGCCACACAACTTCAACCTCTTTTTCATTCTTTCAATGCCAATCAATATTGATAAAATAAATGTTTTCAATTTGTTACAGTCGGGAAAACATCCCTCATCACCAGATTCATGTATGATAGCTTTGATAACACTTATCAGGTGAGGAAAACACAATTAAATCATAAATTTCACACAAAAAATTACCAAAAACTTTATTGCAGGCAACAATAGGCATAGACTTTCTATCCAAGACCATGTACCTTGAGGATAGAACAGTCCGACTGCAGTTGTGGGATACTGCCGGCCAGGAACGCTTCAGATCGCTGATTCCTTCATACATTCGAGATTCGACCGTCGCCGTGGTTGTTTATGATATTACAAGTGAGTATGAGTTGTTAAGTAATTAAAAATGGGATTAAATTTGTGTGTTTTATTAGATGCCAACTCATTTCATCAAACTTCCAAGTGGATCGACGATGTGCGGACGGAGCGAGGCACGGACGTCATTATTATGCTCGTTGGTAATAAAACTGACTTGTCTGATAAGCGACAGGTTGTCACCGAGGAAGGTGAACGTAAGGCGAAGGAGCTCAACGTGATGTTTATTGAAACCAGCGCGAAAGCTGGCTACAATGTTAAGCAGGTAATGAAAAACATAAAAAAATATGTTTTTATTGTTTATAAATGATATTTTTATGTTTTTTTTTAACATTTTAGCTATTTAGACGTGTTGCCGCCGCATTGCCAGGCATGGATTCCACGGAGAATAAGCCACCAGAAGACAGTATCCTTTTTATTTTACGAAATAATTCTAAAAATTGCATTTTTTCTTTGATTTTTTAACTTAAAAACTTCAATTTTGCACGTGCATGACTTACTAGTGTGTGCGCATGTGTTAATTATTTATTATTTTTATTATTTTTTGATTGCGTATTTTCCTCAATTTGTTTCTCTAGTGCAAGAGGTCGTCTTGAAAGACACGCCGAACGAGGCGAAAGATCCGGACGGAGGCTGTGCATGCTAGTGACGATTTTGTTGATTCTGATTCCTTCCTCGTTTTGTTTGCCGAGCAAGAAAAAAAAAACTGAAATGAACACCGCGCGAATCATGCTTTTATCGATTTAATTTGGTACCGGTGCATTCAAACATCTCGACCAAGCAACTAATAATTTAATCAAAACGAGATTTAACACAAAAATCAAAGTCAGATTTGATAAACTTAATAACTAAGAGAGAAAAAAGTATTCGTGCCTTGGGTAAATATTAATTTCGTTTTTAAAATATTACTTTTAAAGTAATATTACACTAAGCAAAATAATAATCAAAATGAAAAGTTTTGCTCAGCGTAAAGCGCTTTAAAGTCTAAGATATAAAGTTTAAGTAAAACAAAAACATTTATTAACTGAAAGAAAAAAAGGCTCTAATATTTATTGCATTTAATATATTTTAAAGAAACTTGTATGTACTAATCATAATCGTAAACCAAAAGAATTCAATGGCAACAATAACCAACCGAACGACGACAACGATGAAAAGATGTAAATAATTTTTATAAATTATCGGCGGACACGTTCGAATGTTTGTGTAAAACGTAGTTAGATATTCGAATGATCGATTTGTTAGGTAATAAGTGTTAATACATAGATCCTGCCACCATTTTTGCGATGTTTGTTAGCCTTGTTAGTCGCTTACGTAGGGGAGGATTATTTTCTTAACCCGCCGCACCCACAGCCGTCGACCTGCAGACACAGCCGCAGCTGCAGAATCATCAGAACGACTCCGAGGGCGGCTGCATGTGCTGAGACAACAGCGCCACCACCACCAGCGATATGAAGAAGTGATGATGATGATGATAATGATGTGAAGACTACTCCTCCCCCCGCATTCGCACGCACACACTCGCAAGCAGCAGAATGGATCAATTAACGGAAAAATATTTACAATGAATTTTACTAGTTAAGCTCTCACTTCATTCAAAACAATAACGTGTAGCCTGAACCGTTGAAGCGCTAAGTGTGAGATTTATTTGCGTTGTTACGATTTCGATGGGCACTGTGTGCGTGTGTGTGAGACACGATGCAGACGAAACAATATTGTTCTTATTAATTGCGCGCATCGATCGATTTTTATTTCGGTTTGTTTGTTTATTCGCGGATTTACCAAATAGCCAATTCTACCGACTTTTACATACCATACCATATTGCAGATGCATACTTGAATTATGATCACGACTGTATATTCATGCGAGAATGGATGCGATTGTAATTTTTCTATTACTATTAAACATGATTTTGCCTATTTAATAATCTGGAATGATTGAAATAAATCTTGATTGTGTCGGACGTTCGAAAAATAGCTGAAATTTAGTTGAATTTAGTTGATTTTAATATAAAAAGGTTATATTTATGTTGCAATCATCAAAAAACGTTGAAAAAATGACATTTAAGACTAGAAAATAGTAATTTATGTTGAAAATAGTGCGTTTTAGGGGTTATGGTATGTGGTGGATCATATAAATCAAAATATCCATGTGATTTTCTGATCCGGAGAATTTCACCGTGCGTCAACTTTCTATGCAAATGATATGCGTGCGAGCGAATCATCGCATCAGAAATCACAATGATGTCATTACTCACTCACGCTTGCGGCTGATGCGATGAGCGATTCAAAATATGTAAGATAATGTGATATTTTGTTAGATAAATTTAGATAAAAACTACATATCGAATCGGTACGTACGCAAGCATAGAACAATACCCCGAATTGCGTGCACTTGAAGCAATCAAAATGACCAGCATATTGCACAGATAAACGACGCAGCTACTGTGCAGCGTGTAAAACAAACGTTTGTTATGATTAGACATCTGTTAGTCACTACATCCTGGCGTGTTTTGGACTAGGAAACAATTGCAAGCTATGGAAACCAACAGACAGAACGTGGATTGGGGCAGGTATGGCCTTGGTGAGAATGCCACACGATCAAGAGGGAATGTTGGAGGATTTGTGGACCTGGGGAATGAGTATGAGTATGCAGCTGGTGGACATCAAGCTTCTGGAGCCAATGAGATCTTTGCTGAAGAGCAGGTGAGGGTGTTATTAGTATAAGATTAGATTTTGTTTAATTTTTGTGTGTTTTTGCTTAGGGTGAGGTGCCTTGGTGGAAATCAAACTTTTTTATATCACAGAGGGTGTTATTTGGCACATGGGATGGTGTGTTCACATCCTGCTTGATTAACATTTTGGTGTGATTGTGTTCTTGAGATCTGGCTGGATTGTGGCTCAGGCTGGGATTATTAGTGCTGTGTTAATAGTTTTATTTACTGGTAAGTAAAATATTTAGATTTACATTGATTTTTAAGCCTAAATTATCTAGAAATTTGAATTTATTAATAATTTAATCAAATTTAAGCTTTAGAGATAATAATTTTGGAGTGGTAATTGAGTATTTCCTTAAAAACTCTTTGTTTTATTGAGAATATGTACTAATTTATAGCATGAAATGAATAAGGTATATTTGGCTATCAATTGTGAGAAAATAATCAATTAATTGTAACAATCAACAAAATGGCGGAGGATTTAAAGCGATTTTTCACCAAGCATTTAAACTTTATTATTCTCTTTATTTTCAGTGTTTGTGGCTTTAATATCAGTACTATCAGCCGTAGGCATCTGTGAAAGATGTCGCATCGAGAGCGGAGGAGTATATTTTTTAATCGCCCATGTCTTGGGCTCAAGATTTGGTGGATCTCTTGGACTTTTATACTGTTTCGGACAGGTACAACACAAAAATCCACGTTTTTTCTACATTTACTTACTGTTTTGTTGTTTACTTACAGGCAGTGGGTTGCGCATTGAATGTTTTGGGTTTCGGTGAATCAATAGCCCTGCTTTTGGGAGTTGGTGACTACCCCTGGGCTGTTAGAAGCATCGCAGGCGCTGCAGTGATGCTCTTAAGTGTAATCAACATGGCGGGTGTAAAGTGGGTGATCAAACTACAATTTGCCCTTTTGTTGATCCTCCTACTCTCTGGGTTAGACTTCATGGTGGGTAGTTTCACCCATATTGATCCAGGTAATTTATTTATTAATAAAATTAGTTAAGAAATTATGTTTTTATTGTTTTTTAACAAATTTTCAGATCATGGATTTACCGGCTGGTTAACCGGTAATTTTCACGCAAATCTCTGGTCAGACTACAAAGACTACAGCTGGTTTACTGTTTTCGGCGTGTTTTCCCAACAATCACCGGCATCCTCGCCGGAATCAACATGAGCGGTGACTTACGCTCACCATCGACAAATATCCCCAACGGCACACTGTCCGCACTCTTCACAGGCACATTTTTATATCTAGTTTTTGTTTTATTCCTTGGTGCAACATGCACACGACAAGTCCTCTTGGAAGACTTTCAAATCGCAGCTAAAGTATCAGCAGTAAGCGTTTTACTACTCGCCGGCTTGTATGTCTCTTCAATGTCCAGTTGTCTCGGCGCTATGTACGGCACACCGCGTGTGTTGCAATCAATTGCGCTCGAGAACGTAATTCCGGGCATCGGTATGCTCGGCATGGGCCGTGGTCCAAACAAAGTGCCTTTGTACGCGATGGCTGTGGTCGCCATCGTCACTTTAACATTTATCTGCGTTGGTAACATCAACATGCTCGCGCCCATCGTCACAATGCCTTATCTTTTAACGTACGCGTGTATTGACTACTCGTATTTTACTCTGGCGCAAACGTTTGACTTGCAACATCAACGCGAAGAGCGATTTGTGAGGCGGAAACCATCACAGAATGGTACCACGCCTGTTGGGAGCGAAGGAAATGATTTGGATAATTTGTTTCCGGAACGTACACAACACAGAATACGAGTAAGTTGTATTTTTTAAAGAAAAGCACGAAAGAATATCAATTTTACATATTTATTAGGGTGAATCAAGTTCAACTTCACCTGTTACACCAGATGAGAATGGAGAAATCACTCCAATTGTACCAAAAACACACATTCATTCAAAACCGAAGAATTGGTACTCTTTATTATGTAACAGATGGTTTTCTCTTCGGAGCAGCGTTAAAACTCTTCATAATGTTCTTTGTCAACTGGGGTTACGCCCTAACAAGCATCCTAGCTGTATTCTTAGTGTGGTTATACATCGGGACGACTAATCCAGCAGTAAAACCAGGTTTAGCTGCGGAGTTTCGATTCTTCAAATGGTTAAAAAATGCTTTACTTCGTTGTTTCGGGTAAATTAACACTAAAAAACACATTTTTCCGACTAAAACACTTAATTTGGTTCCTAAATTACAGAAAACGTGTCCATGAATATGAACAAATCGTAGTGACGCCTATACATCGCAATATTGACGTGACTTCAGCGCAGCTAAACGAAGACAATGAAGATTTTGCATCACGACGTAGATATCACCAGTCTGCGACAGTCCACGGCCACATGGTACTAATCGATGACTAGAAAGACTCAAATTCGAGGCTATTGAATAATTCTTGACTAATAATTTTATCTACATGACGAGAGTAAGCAATTCAGCGGCGCGCTGACAACAAAAACAATGCACAAATTTAGCTTTTCGATCACTTTTTACAAGAATAACATTTGTAATCAACATATATATTGTACACGATTAATGTGCGAGTATAGTAATTTATTAATATTTTACAACATTTCGAGATGTTTGCTTGTCGTTCGACATTGAGCGATAGATTTCTGGTAAATCCCCTCAACGCAACCTCATACTCGTAGGATAATGTTGTGTCAATGTTTGTACAAATAATTACCGCCTTGTTTCGGTGTTTTTTTGACTTTGCGCTTCTGAAACAACAATTAGCGCTTGGGCAGAGTCCCCACTTATTTTAGAAGCAACTATATATAGATTATGCTTCAAATTATTCTTATTACGTGATTTGACGTCTTGAAAAGTGTTCAAAATGGCGAATATAAGTTTATTTATTGTAATATTATGTATTTTGGGTTATTGCTCGGCATTTCCGCATGGTAAGCATTGATTTTTGCTAAAAAATAATTTTTTTAATGTTTTATTTTGTAGCTGGACGTGGTTTTGGCGGAGGAGGTAGTTATGGTTATGAAAATTATAACTACGGATATTCCGGATGGAGAGGTGGTCCCGGACGTGGGTATGGCGGATATAAACATTTCAAAGGTCCTGGCTGGCGTGGAAATTATGGAGGTTATGGTCGCGGTGGCTATGGTGGTTATGGCGGATACGGCCCAGGTGGTTATGGAGGTTATGGCCCTCTGGGAGGCGGTAGCGTTGCATCTGCAAGTGCTTCCGCGTCATCCGGAGGCGGTGGTCCTTTTGGAGGCGGAAGCAATGCCCAAGCCAACGCAGAAACAGCTTCGTTTAATTTAGGACCACTTTCGGCTACGTTTTCGAAAAGTAACGCAAATGCCAACGCCTTAGGTTAAATTCTTATTAAAACTTTATTTTTTTCGTATAACATTTGTTTTTTTATTTACACCTTTCTAAGAAATATTTGTCTCGTATGCAAATATTTGAAATAAATCGGAAATTTGGAACCGGTCGTGATGCAGTTTTGTTGATTTTGTTAACGCGCGATAAACTCTCGCTGCCTCGAGGTCAGTCCGATGCGAGAGAGATCAATAAGCCATAAGTAGAAAGACAAGTTTTAGTTTTGGTCCAGTCGACGGAGAACAGCAGCTGCGCGCTCAGATTACGCAGATTACGCAAAAGTATGAAGAAAGCGCTGCTCCTTGTGTTGACGCTGTGCGTCCTGCTGACGCTCTGCAACTGTGCGCCTGCAGAGCAAAAGGATTCTCCTAAGGAAGCACAATGTAAGCAAAACTCTTTATATTCAAAAACAATTGCAATACTTTTATTAATAGTGAAAGTATAACTTTCACAATCGTAAAAATAGGCAACCAAATGAACATTTTTACAATTTCAGCCGCGTTTGTGCCTGTATTCGATGAAATAGTCGTTGAATCTTCCCTTACTGTGCGCAGAAAAAACGACGCAAGTCGACAAGGCCGTAATAAAAACCCTGCTAAAGTTGCTACAGTAACACCAACAACTGAAACAGCAGCAAAAGTTAAAAGACAATCAGGGTAACTACACATAACCTTAATTATACTTTTCTACTCACACTTACAACATTCATACTCATTTATTCGCAAAACAAACAAAACACTTTTAATAACATTTACGATGTGATTAGATTTAATCGTTTTCCAGGTTTTAAAAGCCGCCATCTTGGAATGGTTTCAGCGGAAGTGTCGCCGACGCTCACGCACAATCCAATAACGTAAACGGCCCTCTTGGCTCTTTTGGTTCCTCAGCTACACATACACAAAATCAAGCATTCAATTTCGGCCCGAATGGTGCTTCTGCTTCCGCTGGTCTAGCAGCCACGCAACATTATTATTTCCCTAACGGAATGAAAATCGACGTTAACTTTTCCGGCGGTACCGCCGCTATTAACGGCCGCAATTCCGACTCGTCCGCATCATCCATCACCGTCACGCATCCAAAAGGCACAAAACGCGTTTACACTTAATTATAATAATAAATTCTGTCTATTTTATAAATAAATAACAAATAAAGCGATTTATATGCAGTGCGCATGCGTAGATTGATTAGAGCGTTGAACTTTGCGTTGTCTATTGAATGAATAATTAAAAATCGATTGTTTGCACGTTTTTATTGATTTATCTATTTGCGGATTATGTAAAATGACTAAAAACACGTAAAATTTATTTCTACCTGTGTGTGACATCGTAATTCAAGGTAAAATCTTAGAAATTTACACTTTGTTGAGATTGGTCACATCGTAAATGCGTCGAAACTCTTCGCGTGAGGTTTATTACGTAATATTTGCATATCGGCATTTGTCGCATACCAATAACACTTTATTTTATTGTTTTTCAAGTCTTTAGACAACACTTGAGTCTTTCCTGTGCAGAAAACAGCACTCATGCGACTAAAATACAAAATGGCGCCGTTTTATTATGATGTGACATAAAAATACGCGTTAAATTTGCTTAAAACATAAACGCAACAGGATTTAGCTACATTTAAATTCACAATGCAAGCTAACGCTAATCTGAAGTTCAAAATCACACAGTTATGCAATCAGATCACGTTAAATCGACTTGTGTTAACCAACGAAACAAAAGCAAATCAATGAAATTACGCACGCGTTGAATACTGAATATGAAATTAACGACTTTGACTACGGTATTCGCACATCCGTGAACATTTTTCAATGTCTGTCACCTGTTAGGGTTGATACAATTTGTCACCACGATGTCTAGTGGGAGGAATTCACTACCTATCAATATAAAAAGACGTTTTTTACATGGGAAAGTATCAGTGTTGACTTTGAAGTGCAAGATTCATCATGAAGACAATTATTGTAGTTGTTTTGGCGTATGCCATGACTATTTTTACTGCCAGTGCGATACCAGCAGGTAAAAACTTAAATTTTAACCTAAAATGTTTAAAGTTTGGTTATATTTGCGTTTTTAATGTTTTGAGGTTATGGAGGTTATGGTTATAGTAGACAAGTACCACGTTTACGCCGTGGATATCAACAACAACCGCAGGCGATGATGTTTTCCGGTTTCTATGGTCAACCATCATCATATGGACATCAAGGATCAATGTCTGCGTTTGCAAACAAAGATATGATCTTCACGAATTCATTCGCTGGTGAAGAAGCACCTATTTATTTGAATAATGAGCAAACAAATGAAAAAGAAGTTTTATCAGGACCAAATGAACAGGAAGCACCTATTGAAGAAGAGATAGAAGTACAAACAACAACAAAAAGGCCTTCTAAAGTTAAAAAGAACAAAAGAAAACCAACCACAACAGTAAAACCAGTTGAAGAAGTTGATCACAGTGAAGAAGATGAAGAAGAAGATCAAGAAACACCTTTTAGAGGTTCAAACAATGCAAATCGTCCTGGAAATCCAGGAAATCAAGCTGGTAACACTTTTTTCCCGGTAATTTTTGGTAAAAGTCAAAATGGCGGCGGTGGTCCCCCAGGCGCAGCCATTGCGATAGCAAACGCATTCAGTACAGGTAAAGGAGGTGTCGCCAGCAGTCATGCCACTGCCTACGGTGATCCATACTTCAGCCGAATGGGAAACAAAAATAACGGTAACAAAAACAAGAAAAACTAACCCCAAAAACAACATATTGTACAATAGTTATATTAGTAATGTCTCATTTGCGTGTTTTCTGTTCGATTTAAACAATAACAATGTTCTCTCGCTTGTACCCGTGTCTTATCTAGCTCACATTACATCGATAGCAAAACAACATGTTAAATAAAAACCTACGAGTTAACAAAATATCACATAGTGACACCTTCAACACGCGCCGCCATCTAACCATTCCACCATCGTTCCATTCGTTTACATACATATATAAAATTATCTATAAAATTTCTGAGCAATATTTTACAATAGTTCCATAGAATTACACAATTACATTATTCGTCGCCGGTGTGATGTGATGTGTAAGTGTTTTGTGTGTGCGCGACTCTCGAAATAGACACCTATACATAATAAAACGTGACGTATATAAAAAGAACATTAATATAACCTACAAATATATAATTGGAATTATTTTGTTTCATACTTCTTGTTAGAATTCGGTTATTGTGATGTAGTGGTTCCATTGTTTAAACATTTCAAGTCTTCTGGTTTACATTTGTTTCAGTTCTGTTTTAAATATTTGAAAATATTTGAACACTCTAAGTGTATATAGAGTACCAACAGATGGCACTTGGTATTGTGGTGTGTTGATTTGCTGGTTTGGATTGATTGTGATATCGTTTGTTTATTTTATGGCAGGTTTCGAGATTCGCCCTAAAACCTATGTTATCATAATAATAATGGTAACTCTTAACTAACGAATTAAACTAAGCGCGGCGAGTGCATTCAACTGCGCATGCGCAGGCAGCGCTGTTAGAAGTAGTATAGAGTATTAAATAATAAGGCGCAAGTGTTCGCAAAGTGTGCTTTAGACATGTTTTCATCAAGTTATTAACTGATTAAATACTTAATAATCGAACAATTATCAAGAATAGTTTATGTAGGTAGTAGTCAATTCAGTGTTGCACGAGGCCAATTCGAAGAGATTTAGGTAAGTTTTTTTGTTTTTTTAAAAATTTAACCTAAAAAAGTTCAGTAAAAAGTGAAGTGTAAGTTGTTAGCAAGCGAATAACTCGTGAAAAACATGTCCGTACAACGAAACAACACTTATTTGTTACATATACCAATAGTAGTGGTGTAACAATCAATATATAAAAGTTAAAGAGTTAAATATTGTAAATAGTCCATCCTAACACTGTTTGTGTCGCGTGTAAATATAAAAATCGGTATGTACAATCGTTATCATTAAGACGTTTTTGTTTTAAGTGATCGTCAGATGTGAAGCCAAGAAACCTAATAAAATCCTTACTAAAACGCATATATAATATATAATATATATATAAAGTAAAAAAAAAAACAAAAAAAAGTATCTAGTTAAATATATCACAGATCGTCAATGCACGTTTGCTTACTCAGTAAAACAGCAGCTCGCCAATCGTCGCCGGCGTTCACTTTCATTTTCATTGCTCGACGAATTTTGATTTTCGATATTTGATTATGATCCGGCGTATTGCGGCATGTTGTGTGTTGTGTGTCAATCGATAAAAATATTATTTACAATATATATGTAGTGGTTGCGCAAGCGCGAGGTTGTGCAGCAGCGCTACTCACAGTTGTCAGCGCCGCGTTGCTTCGCTGTAATGGCCGCCAACTCCTCTTCGAGCGGCACCTGCTCGTCGACGAAATTTATACTGCCTGCTTTGTACCACACGATCACATCGACGAAAAATGCGCATAATAGGATTGCACCAGTTGTCCCTAGAAACAAAAATTTAAAAATTACAATGGCGGCCATTTTGTGAGGTAAAATGTTGTTTTGTGGTGCTTACCATGATAAAACATACGGAAAGTGCTTGAATCATAGAAATTACACGCGCCCTTCTCGTCATCCACCGTTTTCCAATCCAAACACGCCGAATCGACGACAGCGCCATACACGATCGGACACGGAACATTCCCGAACAACCCAATCGCGAATTGTATTAACCCCAGCGCCATCGCTTTATCTCTTGGGTCAACACACCGTAGAATTAGTAACATTGACCCGACTTCAGACGTCGAGTGAATGAAGACGAAGACGGAGAAAAGTATAATGTACCAGATGAAGTTGTTACACGGCGCCTCGCATGAGCCAATCGACGCGCTTCGAAACGGCGCGCCTGGCTCATCCGCAATAATAAGCGTGGCATTATCATAGACGTCTCGTAAACATGTGCAATCCGAGTATTCGACGATTTTCCCATCACGCTCGGTGTAATTCCGACAACCTGCGTGACACGCCGAGTAGTACGAGAGACCGTCCTGCCCGCAGATCGGCGCAAAACGGTCGCCGCTGCAGCTGCACGTCGTATTGCACACCGGCTCGGACAGGCCGTGGCCCTGCAGCTCATGCATCGGACAACCGATGAACATCAGTATACCCATACCTGGAAATGAATTATTACCGCATTAATTACGATGTAATAATGGTGCCTATCTGCGAAACGTACCTAATGCATAAATTACGGCTGTAAAGGCGATCCACGCGGCGACGAATCGCGCGTTTGGTTTCACTCGCAAGATGAACACCCCGCTGATGATTATGCCCAGGCCCATGACGAGAATACCACCAACACCTTTGAGAATTTAATCGTTTTATTAACAATCACAGGTTATGCGAAGAGTTTTCTTCTTTAACCTTACCAGATATCATGTTAGCTGAAGGTGTAGGCAACCGAAATTGCGACTCGAGATACTTAGGCAAAAATGTATACAGCCCGGCGATTGGCAGGATGTGCAACACGCTGCTCGCTGTCCGAAACATGAGAATATCATTCTTCAGCAGTCTTTTAACAGTCTTTGGGAAATCTGCAAGGTAATAAACATTTATTATGTGAATTAATAAGGCAACACACAAAAAAAAAACAAAAAAAAACGCGTGAATTTCGTTAGAAAATACAAAATAATCAAACATAACCTCTTTTTCTGAAAAGTATGACAAGTATTGATATTGGTCAAGTTCCTGCACGTATGCAAACGAATAATCACTAGTTAGCGATTTTCGTTCGGTATTGTGTAGGGATTATTAAAAAACAAACGGCGATAAGAAAGATCAATGACCACCACGACGTTGGGCCATGACTTTGCGCTATTACTCACACGCTGCGCGCTTATCGCCATGCGCGTTGTTCGCGCCGTGCTTGTGTGTTCGTGTGTATACTTTGAGCAATAAAGTGAAATCGTGCGAAATGTCGCTGCTCACCTCTAATGCTCGGATGCTTCCGGTCGTTGCGATGAATCCGCGGCTGTGGTGCGCTTGGCAATCGCTTCGGGAACGCAAACATCGCGAATGAAGTCAACATTAGTAATCCAGAAATTAATACTAGACCTATGGGAAAAAAAAAAGAAACAAAGTTATATTGTATCATAACCTCACTTTTTGAGATATAATATTTACCTAACCACCATGCACCAACCCAACGTGGATCTGTCGCGTCTATTTTCGGATCTACTGATAAATCAGCATAGACACTCGTACAAAGTGATCCGACGATGAAACCCAGGGCAGGACCCAAAATTCTAACCCCAATTGTAATAGCTACATAAAAACACATAAAAAATTAAGGTTAAACTTAGGTTATGTCATGTTTTAGCTTTTAACATACCAAAATACAACGGTGATTCTTTACTTGCGACGTTATCATCAATATAGGGTATCCCCAAAGTATAAACAGCAGTCTGACCCATTCCAACACCTAGCAAACTGATGAAAAATATCGCCAGCACGATTTTCGTCACTGATGGCTGTATCCGATGCTCCGCAACCCAATTCTCCGCCATGTGTGGCATACCATCAAACTCCATATCAGTCAACATGGACATCTCCATCACTTCACTCAAATTCGCCTTGCAAATACTCGGATCTTTATGAATCCCAGTCAAATCATTCGAGTTAATCAATTGTTTCCCATAGATAAAGTGTGGCAGTGAGCAGGTGAAAGACGAGACAGCAAACAGGACCATACCCCATGCTATCCACTTGGGTCTATGCCCTTGACCGCCATAATAGGTCAGTAAAGAGAGGAACCAATCTGGCCGATTTCGGTCGCGCTCATAATAATCCCGGTGATTTTTGATTGGATTTGAAACAGTTTCTCGATGGTTGTAATTGCGCTGACGAAATATGTATGGTACATTCCCTGCAGGACCCATGCAATGCAGAATACCATGAGGAAAGCTTGCTTGGATGCGAATTTCTGTAACCAGTTGGGCGCGCATGGTCCTAGGCCGCATTCGGTGTCACTTTCGTCGAAATCAGCATCGCCGTTGACGGAGAACGATTTACTCTGCGGTAGGGTTAGCTGAGTTTGCTCGCTGGGTAGGTGGTGGTCGTCATCATGGGCGTGCAAACGGGCGTTACCATTGGTGGGCGCGTTGTTATTCGACGCTTTCGTGCCGTTTGAGGTGGACCATGTGCTGCCATTGGTCAAAGGAGCGGTGGGCGCATCAGGGTTTGCCATTTTTTTTACCAAACTGTGATGATTTCAGTACGTAAATTTTATCACAAGTACGTTATCACTGAAAGAAAAGAATAAGTTGGTATTTATTTGTTTTGTAAGTTGCCTATGTTATATGGGTCGTTTATAGTGTGTTATTGGAATGAAACTTTGATGGTATTTATTTTATTCAAGTCCGAATCTCGTGTACACGGTGTTTGGAAAAGAAATAAAAGTGGATCTCGCCTGCCGCTTTCTAAAATGCCGGCCGAGTCGCGTGGAATCTTTACATAAGTGAATTGGGATTTAATTAATCGAAACGCCGCGCAGATCCGAGCCTCGCATGCGCGTGCGGTAATCGTCCGTAATGTCACTTTCTCGCGTTTTCTTGCCTCGCCGAACAACTGTTTAATGTAACTTGCGAATTTTTATGCAAAAATTCAACACGCCATGTTAACAATAGCAGTAATTTTAGGTTACATACTTAATCAGGTAAATTTTGAGGTTAGAATTAAACTAACGGCTATTAAGTGACTGAAAGTAGTCAATATGTAAGGTTATGTCGCCTGGATGTGAATATTATGTCGGCGCACGTCTCGGCGCTTAGAATTCATGCAATTTCGCGAAACCGTTGATGTTGCGAGCGCGTGTGGCGGCATGCCGGCGCGGCGGCGGGGTCAACGTCATCGCCGTTTCGTCAAACATTTATGTATGTAGGCTAAACTAAGAATATCGATTGTAGTTTGGGAAAGAAAAACGACGCCGCCGCGCGATGCATACTAAAATTAAACGCCGCTGCGGCGCTGCATGGAGGAGATGCAAACGGCTGCAGAACTGCGAATACTACGACGTGGAATGCGAGAAAGGCCCAGGAAGCACACACAGCGCAAGGTGCAACTGGCAAGTGCATCAACAGTTAGGATTGAAGTACGTGCAAACATCTAATGCACACCTTTTACGGCCCGTCACTCAGTGGTTGTGTGCTGCTTAACTTTTGCACAAGTTGCAACTATTAATAATAAGTATTTAAATTTAATGCGAAAAGCAAGAGTTGCGGGATGATGATGAGATGATACTTGAGATTCTTCGATGTCTCGAAGAAAGAGAAAGGCCCGCGGGCGGAGCGCGTCCTCCTCTCTTCTCAAGACAACTTAACTTCACTTTTAACTTGCTACGTTCATTCATACCTTCAGAAACGCCGGTTCAATTTCTATATCCTTAACTTAACGCACGGTTAGAAATTGTATCAACATTTTTCCGCGCACTGTGAACATGTTTATTATTATTTAAGTTTTTTTTTTTGAAAACTATTGTGATTAATTTTTGTTTCAGATCACTTTTGTTTGGCACTTGTTGAGAGACGCGTGCGTGTGTCTCGCGCGTGAAGAACACTTTCTCCGTGTGCGCTGAGGCACGGGGCACCCTCCGAAGACGAGAGTCAGGCGAGCACTGCGAATTGGCATGCGAGCGAGCGCCGTGGTGGCCGGCCGCGAGGGGGGCTCGACTATTAGCATAATGGTGCGCGGCATGCAGCGCGCGGACTGGACGCGGACGGCGTGACCCAAGCCGCCGATAGCGCCCGGAGAGGATGTGGGTTATCTCTTCAGCTGCCGAAACACCGGCACATGCTCTACACGCCACAGCATTCATAGAGAAGTACAGAAAATGTAAAAACTAGGTAAGTGTTTGGAAAATTCTGAAAATTATCGCGACATTTTGTTTAATTGCGGCAAAATATTATAAATAGGTTTTATTTTGAGAAATAATAATATTTTCTTGTATTTTAATTGCGAAAAGTGACGAAAACAATGAAAGAGTAAGAAAAATCGTTTAAAATATGGAAAAATTAGTTTAATTAGTTTAAAAAATAGAAAATAATGATGAAATAGTAAAGAAAAATACATAATATCGTCTTTTACATTGTTTTTCAAGGAAAATTTATGAAATAATAGAGAAAATTGATGTAAAAACCTCAAAAATTAAGAAAACCCCCGGAAAAAACGAGAAATTATCACAAAAATGTGTTTTTAGGTTAATACCAACTTTAATTTTTCTTGTTTTTTACTTATCATGAGTTTAAATACGAAGAAAAACCCAGAAATCGATCAAAACCCAAGAAAACCCACCGAAAACTATGACATTAACACAAAAACATCATTAATTAAGGAAATACTCCAAGAAAACGATGTTGACTCGTCGATAATAACATTTGTATTGAGTTGTTGTGTCATTTGCGCGTCGTGCCGGCGCGGCGTGCATCGCTGGTTGCATTCGCCCTAAATTAATATCGATTAGTGCTCATTTGCTTCAATCTATCTAGTTCTAGTCCGGCACAAATGCTGCACAATTTACACGCAGTTAAAATAAATGCACAATCAAATCAACTATCATTTCATTAAATACATAAAAACCGGTATTTATGAATCTAACCTTACATTTTTCAATTAATTTTACGCCATTTTGAAAAAGAAGAAAAAAAAAAAACAGATGAACGAAATACCACGACATTTGCATGTTGAACATTTCAACATTTCGAAAACCATAACGATTGTAATATGCAGATTGGTGTCGTTGGTGTGTGACACACGCATAAATATGGAAATCGGCGATAAAAACCAAATTTAAAACGGTGCTTTATTTTTTTCCAACGGTGTGAAAAGCCTCAACCTGAGAAAACTTGCGCGAAAATAACCTTCTTGCATAGAGGTGTAGAAGGCGGCGGTAGTTGTAGGTCTAAGCACACAGGCGGCGGGTGTGGGTTGTGATGGTTGTGATCGTGAATGCGCGCCTGCCGCTCGCGGAGACAATTAACGCGTCTCATCGGGCCCGAAAATAAACTTCGCCTCGAAAACGCACCACGACCGGCGGCGTGTGACCTACTACGGGTGCACTCAACTTTCGCTAGTTAGCCGGAGAGCCACCCGGCCGCTGCGCGCATTTTATTCGAAAGCGTTTTATCACACCACACATCCAATATTTATAATTTGTAAAAAAGGATAATTGCTCCAGATGTCATATCACATCATATTTGGGGTAATCCCATCGCGCGCAATAAAAACACATCTTAATCACAAAGTTTTGTGTGTGGTGTGTAAAACTGTGTTACTTTTGCGCGCCGAATCGAGGTCGCTTCAATATTTTTCTCAGTTGGTCAAGAGTTTACTTGTACTTTTACTTCGCGCGGCTCGATTTCGGCGATTTGCAGCCGCCGGCGGCCGAAAACCAAAGAAGAAAAAAAACACGCGCCGACATTAAATTTCTATTAAGGTTTCGCCTAATTATTTCACATTTAGATGCACGAAAAGTTGTCTCACAATAATTTATCAATCGGATGCGTTTGAAATCGAGAAAGTTTAATTTAACATATAATAAAGCAAGAAATAACAAAAAATAGAAGCAAAACGCACGCAGTTTATATTTTCTGACCTGTTTTCACAAGTATCTTGCAGAAATTGATTGAAAAATCAAGGTCTACATGTCAATTCATGCAATTAGATTATATTTTAAACGTTTTATACAAGTACAAACAATTTTTACAACTGGACAACAAAAATAACCCTAAAATTTCACTGTTTTAAAATTTTAGAGTATAATTTAGCAGATGGCGCTGTAGTCGGGTATTATGCGATGTTGGCACTATAGGCAACCAAATAAACACGTCAATAAAACTTATTTCAACAAGCAGTGTGCGTCGTTGATAGAATTTGTGTTGTTGGGCGACGAGTTACACCGAACAAGTAACATTTATAACACCATACACATAAAACACGCGCCGCGCAGACGTCGCACATACGATTTCTTCAAATTATATAATTAACAAACAATTTTATCTGAACAAACAGAAGTGAATTTAGGTCAATACAATTTATACAATGTCCACATTGTATAGGCGCGTATCGCAAGTAAGTGTACAAGCACAAGTAGGAGGCCCGTAGCGGATTGGTCGTGTGAGTAGGTCTTTGATTTGAATTATTCGCATTGTCATGTTTCGTGTTAGCGGCGCGCCCCCTCGCGTCAACAAAATCGCGGGGCGCGCGCGCGCACACAATTCGCCATTCATCCGCCGCGGACAATGGCACTTGTCGAATTGCGTTGTTATCGCCATTAACGCCATTATATTATTATTATTCAATTGGGTTTTCGTTAGTGTATGATTTCTTTTTCGCGCAGGGTCAAAAAACTGACACACGGCGGAATTACACGGAAAATCCCGAAGAATAAAAAGAGATTTGAACGCTGGTAAAAGATTTAGTTTAACTTGACTTTCAATAAAACCACTTTCGACTCATCAATGAACCCATCAACGTTGTGAAATTGCAAATTCAGATACGAATTAAATTTATCAACACAATCGAATGAGAATAAACGATCGCATGCGTTCGCCGCGTAGTGTTGGCGCATGTGTGTTGGTGTAGTTGTAGATGAGCACCGGAATAAATTCGTCTGACTTTCGAAATGTCAAGGTTATAACACGACGAATTTGCTACATTTGTAGCATTTGTTTATGTGAATTCAGCGCACGTCGGTGCGGATGAATGAAGAAGGCGCATTGTAAACATGTTTATTTTCGTGCGGGAATTCAGCGCAAATTCGGACATTTTTATTTTTATGGCCGCGCGCGCGCGCGCAGATGAAAAGTGAAATGGGAATGAAAAGCGCGAGAGCGCGCACGCTCCGACGCGGACCGAGAGGGAAAGCACAACACAACACAACGCAACGCTGCACAGAACTCTCACTTGGGCTTCAATACAAGGTAAAAAGTATATAGGCGTGTTACGCTATTTATAACATTAAAAAGTGTAGTACCTATTTTTATGGTCTTTTAATTTGATTTAAAAAAATGTTTGGGTTAAGGTTATGTCTTTTGGCATCATTAATCATATTGACCCACAGGGAGGGGTGGGGGAACTTAAACCCTCTAAAAGTGGTAGGGGTAGACTCCCTGCTCTCATTTTCTTTTCTGTTTGAGTCAAAGTTGATTAGTTGTATTTAAATTGCATTAAATGTGTCATAATTGTGTAAAATTTTATATTTTTAAACACGTAAAGAGTCAAAAAGTCATGTTCTGCTGATTAATCACAAAAACAAACGCATTACACTGATAAGCAAGCACAAACAATTGCAAAACGCCCCGAGTGCATGAGTTATCACCGCAAATAACGCGCGATGTATAAATAGATATACGTATAATAAAGTTCTCAAATATGCGCGCGAGTCCATTTTGTGAAAATGCTTGTAAAACAGGTTCCGCAGATAGTTGCGTCTCTTCAGTGAAATGCGTGTGTCTTACCGGCCGGTGTAAGATACAAGTGCACAAGTGCACAGCGAGCAACTGTACATGCTGTACATGCCATTCATAGAATAAATCTGGCGAGAGTGACTCGCCAGACGCCAGACTGCGACTCTCGCTTTCATCGCACACTGTGCGCTGCGCGGCGTTACGATTTTAATCGTCGCTTTAATGCAGCTAATTGTTTGATGCATCGCTTTGTTTGTGCGTCACGCGTGCGTTCGCTAGGCTAGACGGCTCGTAGATCTCGTGCACGATAAGTTAAAGAGTGTTAAGTGCCCGGATGGTTAAGCGATTGATTGTTTCATTGGTAATGACGCGCGGCGGCGCGAATCGAGCCAACAAGCGCATAACAAAACGATTCGCTTCGATTTTGTTTTCTGTTTTTCTGCCTGCCTGCGCGCCTGCATACATGTATATTAGAGTAGAGTATTATGCGTCAGGTAAGCTTTGGGTGCTCTCTGTGTGTTATTTCGACTTGCAAGCCGAGTTTTTCGAGGAAGTCGGGCCGAAGTCCAAAAAATGTTCGAACGCCTTGTTGTCGGACTTGTTTCGTGGAACCGACGACGCCGAGACGCCGTATCACATCCGGTGCGTGCGCGCGCGAACCACATTTTTCGGTGGTTTCTTAGTGTGTCGGCACGAAATCATCGAAACGAATCGAGCGCCGGCGGCGGGCCTGCCGAAATTCAATTGTTACTATTATTTTCACCTTGACCCATCCATCCGCGTGAGCGCGCGCGCGCGCGCCGCCGAAACTACGTCGTGTGTTCCGTGTTGTGTGTGTGTATGGATATTTCGGTTTCCGAAATTTCGCGGCCAAGCCACTGCGTCTCGGCGTTTTAATGTGAACGAAGGTCACCTTTGCACAGAACCATTTTTCGCGAGCAGAAGCGTGTAAACATAATCGGCACTTGTTTACGGATCGAAACAAGTGGCAGCCGAGATATTTTTAGCTAGAACATTTGAATGCCAATGACTACATTAACAAACTCGGTATCAAATTAAAGCACACATCACTGCCGATAAAATGATACCACATTCATTAAAATGTGATAATTATACACAGAGTTATACGCGTTTTAAATTTATTAGGTTATAAGCAGCGACAGTAGCGACACCTATGTAGAAATTCAAAGCTATCGCTTGCATAGCATTGTGCAACACAGCAAAAAAAAAAAGGTCTGGAGCGCATCGCACGTCGTAAGATGCGCCAGCCGAGTCTCGCTCTCACTCTCGAGGGAGATAAATAAAAAGTTGTTGGCCAACCGCTGCTGGCGTGTCGTCCGCGTCTCTCCTGCATCAGCGGGGCTCATCGCGCCGATAACCGCGACCGCCGCCGTCTGGCCCAGCAAACAGACACACACACACAGCAACCGCATCGCTATCTCGCGCAAATATGAAATAAATACAAAGGTATTTATACAATCATACCGGGGCGCTACTTTCCTGGATGAATTTCTTTTTAGTCACACTCGTAGGCGGGCCGGCGGCTTGTTTATGTTTGGCCGCGCGGGCGTCTGTGTACAACACACACGGAGGGTATAAAAATATATTTACGATGCGTGCACGCTCAATCGAAAAAGCGTCGTTTTCTGCGCGCTCGCGTGCGCACACACACGGTCGATGCCGGGCGGTCGACGTAGACGCACCGCCAGACGGCGCGAAGCGAAAGGGACACCACAATTCGTCCTCGTCACGCGAGCGAGCGCGTTTTTCGGCTAGACGCACCACGATATTATCTAGTTCGACGCAAAGACCTGCACCTAGAATAAAATCCAAAACCCAAGTAGTAGTGTAGTAGCTTCGTATTTTACCTGCATTTGCAACCGATGACAACATGGTTTTTATCCAATAACTTGCGTCACAAATTCGTTCGTCCTTCGACAAAACACACGCCGGCAAGATTTAGATTTAATAGTGTATTATGTGATACACACCGAAAAAAAAATTGGTAATAATCGCGTGTTGATAATTTTGCGCTTCGCGATCGCGTCTGCTGGTGTTGGGTATCTGCGTGTGGAAACGTTCCGCGCGCCGTCGACGAACTCGCCGGACTGCGACTGCGACGAGGAGCGCGAGCGCAGACCGGCGCACCGCGCTCTCCGACCAGTCGCACGCTCGGATTCGGATTCCATTCCGAACACCGCGCCAGGCGAAAACCTACCCGACCGAACTTGATTTTCGGCTGTTTATGGCCGGCAAGTTGAAATTCTTGCGTTGCGCATCTTCTAGCGTTCGAAATAGGCAGCACATGTGTTACGCAACAGCCGGCCGTGTTTGTTTATGTGTGTGTGGGGCACCTTGCGCGCTCTGCGCCTCGCCTTTGTTTGTCTTTTGCGCCGAGCGCACAGCTCGCACAGGTACCGAAGACGCCGTCAATAAAGATTGACAGGACCGGCACAGGATTACGAAAAAGCATCCATTGGATCGTCTCTCAATCACAGCAAATTTATACAAAATATCAGTCCTCTTCACAAACGGGAGCGCGGGGTGTGAAGCAGCCACAATTTAAACTAATTTAACAGATTACAAAGTAGAAAAACAAATATAAATTAGCTAATTCTTACAGGCTAAACAATTCTCAGGGAAAATTTATAACATATCTATGAGTAACATGTAAGGCAACAGTAGTTGTTTCCATTTTTAAATCTGTAACCAAATTATTCAATTTAACATAATTAAATTTAATTTTTACAGAAATTGACTTACATGGCAACACAACACCTGGAACAAAATTGTTCAGAACATATACTGCAGCTTTTTATACACTCTGGACACAAGGACACCTCACAAAACCAGCAATTCCCTTGGATGAATTTAATATCATTGCATTCCACACACAATCGATGAGCAGGAGGTAAATTCTATAAAAACAAACTTATTTCACAACTTTTTTCATTTCTATCTCTTATTTTACTCACAGCATTTGCATCGGAGAGTGCCACCCCTGTTGGTGATAACACATTGTTGTTATTCATACCGGCAAAGAGTAAACTTAGGGTTTTATCTGCGAATTAATATAATTAGGTGAGTGGAAAATGTTTTAACGGTCGCAGTGGTGCAAGAGGCGTAGATAACCTCGAATTTTACCATAGATACTTTTTCTGTATGACTCGTCGCGTAAGTCGATGTCACGCGTAGCGACATGCTGTTTCCTTTGCGGCTCACAGTGATCTTCAAAAGGACACACTCGTTTCGACATTTTGCGCGTGTGGAAGCCGTTCACGTATTTTAATTTCCACTGCAGAAAATGTTCGGAAATAGAACTGGGTTACGAGTATGCAGGCGGTATGCGCAACGAATCACGCACCAGTATGCATACAGCACATGCGCACTACATTCGTGACAGACCGGATTGATTCGGACTTTGAAAACTTTCAATAGTTTGACATAATTTATACTTCAGAAAAACGGTTACAACTGGTTACAATATCGAAACTATTTATACATTTCTCGGTTGCAGACATAACAATTGCAATCGCATGCGTTGTTTACACTTGATGATGATATCTTCAACGATCCTGTAAGTAATTCAACATTCATTATTTAACAGTCATTTTTAATCATTCTCAAACTTACGTTTTATCACCGGGGTTTTCAAGTCGTGGAATGGCGGCCAAAGCTTCATCAAAATAAAATTTCGCTTCCGATGTTAAATATCCTTGGAAAACCTCGCGTAACATTCGAATATCCGCCGTGGCTTGTTGAATGCCTGCCGTGCTGAAATTCCGCACGCAATCCATCAATCTATACAATTCCTCAGCGATTGTCTGCACAACTTGTGGTAAAACACTGTCTACCAACGCAGGCGAGATACAATTCACCTCACAATGCACATGTATCAAATTATTTATGCATTCTTTCGCGTACGGACGAATATCTTTCGGTGTAATATTCGTATCCCAATCAAAACGTTCCAAATACATCGACGGTTCAATAGTTCCCACAAGCGGATCACTTTTTTCTTCTAAATAATACTCCAGGACAGATTTCTCCAATGATTCTAACTTAGATGCGCAGTTTTCAAATGCTTGCTTTGGAACAGGATAACCACTCTTCGCGAAACTCTCTTCTAAATTTTTCAGAACAACTTGTCGAGTATACTGACAATTAGCCAATGAAGTAAGTAATCGTTTCTCCCACGTTGGCAGTGTTTTCTTGTTGGCGTTGTTTCGATAATTCGCAGGTGTACCAATAAGTTGCGACACCACCGGCGAAGAATCGTCATCTTCGTTCTCTTCTTTCGCAGCTAAATTCGCTAAAACCTTGTGGAATACTCCCAATAATGCGTCGACTTGATTATCAAGCTCTTTATGCGCTGTGGGGTTATCCAACAATGAACCTTCGCGTTGTTCACTTGTCAACACAGATTCCCTGATTATTTGGATCACTTCCTGCACGGCCTGCTCGAATTTAATCGGTAATTCAGTAATACCATTGTGTTTGCCATTGAATTCAATCCGCCATGTTTCTTGCTTCGACAACTGTTCAATTTGTTCCGCGGCTTGTTTAAATAGAATATTCATACAGTAAATCCTCAAATCAAGTATAAATGTGAATACAATATCCAGCGCTTCATTGGGTAAGTCCAACTTAATCAAAATGGCGTAGGTTGCACGCACGTGACGTAAGCAAGCCGGCAGCCACGGTTTTACAAGTTCTGTATCACTCTGCGCCCATGATCCGAACGTTGCTTTGTCATAGTTTTTATCTAAAGTATGTGGAATAATTGCAGCGCGTAATGTTTTGCAAAACATCTCCATAATTGCAAGCACAATGTGTTTGAACTCCACTTGTCTGCCAGGTTCTATTTTTACGTGTAATTCGCCAGTGAAGTAACTCTGACCAAGTTTCCATAGATTAGGGAATAATTGCGAGACAATTTCGCATAGATCTTCAACGAATAAGACAGATTCCGGCACTCCTGTCATATCTTGTGGCGTGTTATTGAATTTTGCGAATTTATTACCACTGCCTTTTATTTTACTCTCATCCAGGGTGGCTTCTTCGGCGTGTTTATGCTCTGTGTAGCATTCTTTAACGCGTTTGTTTAAATAATCGTTGTGGCTTTGTATAGCGTCCCATGCTGGTTCATAGGCTGCTTCCAGGTTAACCAAATGCCGAATGAGGCGTTTTTGTTCTTCGACTGAGATTGGCATGCGTGTTAGTTTGCTGTGCAACATTTCTTGGAGCAAAGCAACACGTCGTTCAATTTCTACCAGCGCCATTTTGAATATAGGCACGTCACTCTTATTAAATAGATTTTTAACGCGCATGTAGTCATTGATAACGATATCGTAGTCGCCTTTCTTTATATTGCGTTCGATTACGCAGGGTAAACAGAAGAGAAAACGGAAACGTGATAGGACATTCAGTGCGTTTCGGGTCTTCTCAGCGCGATCACGACGTGTTAAGACATCATCGAATAGTTTTCTTGCTTCACGTTCCGATTCTGAATAAAAATATATTTGTTTTATAAAATTAAGTAAATTTTGAGTGTTTACAAACCTTTGATTGCTTTTTCCAGTGTTAAAGTTGGTTCTGGTCCTTGTATTCTTGCATCTTTTTTGAATTTCTCATCCAGGATCATTGTAGTGTCCAATTGGTCAATGACAGATGAAATATTTGCTTTTAGAAAAGATAATTGTCCTTCTTTCTGCCCATCTACCTTCCTCCTTAGATGTACCATACTAAAATAAACAAAATAATTATTATTTTCTTAAATTTTGTACCTTTTTTTAACACTACCCTGCTTGCAAATCATCAAAAGAAGTAACATGATGATTTTCCAACAAAAACCATCCAGGAGAAAAGTTCTCTGATGAAATATCCCCTGATGAGTTGGGAAAATGTTCAATTAATTCATCTTCTGGAAACTTCTTCTCATTTCCTTCTACTGATAGACCCAGTGGATCCTCCTGTTGATAACTACTGGGTGATAAGGAGTGTCTGCCCCATACAAAAAGAGGTGCTTCTTCAACCCATACTGAACTGTCTTTCATAGGGCCAATTGTTTTCTCAAAGTAGCCTTTGAAAGAAACATTGCAGGTACCCTCACCACCTATTCTTGTGGTGATGATTACATCTCCTGTACCCTTGCAGGGACCCGATATTGCTATGATTTTTGTGGATGATTTCCATTCTGCTGATAGCAGGCAGTCAAAACCACAAATTCTCAATCCTGCAAGTGAAAATCAGTAATAACCTACTAAATTTTTGTTTTAATAAGTTTTGACCTACCTATTAGATCTGTGGGTTTTGTTCCGAAGTTTTCTCCTCTAATTGTTATTCGTGTGCCATGAGGGCCTTCATTGGGGGAGAGCCCGGTCACCACCGGTGGAGGTACCATTATTTGCAGTAATTCCTGCAGTAAATAACTAAACAAGTGATGAAAACATTGTCAGGGAGTAGGATTCAGCTGTTTTTATACTGTGCTTACAAAGCAAATAAAATCTTGTTTTTGCATGTTTAAAGTTTATTAAAAGTATTTGATTTCAATATTAATGGATTGTTTAAAAGGGTTCTTTATATTTTTGGGTTAAAATATGATTTGTAGTCTTTTTGGCATTAGTTTTGAACATTTTGGATGTTTTGTTCAACACTCGGTATAGATTGGTGTATCAAATGCCGCAGCGCCTCTTGTGTTGAAATAGTGAACTTTATGGCATGCGTTTGTCATAAAATTTGTACATGCGCATTACTGTATTGTTTTGATGATAATTTGATAACGAACACTCGCTAGCGGTCGGTTTTGCGTTTTATCGGGGAAGATCCTCGTCACGAGAAGCGTGAGCGGCGCCAATACCGCCAACCTCAAGTGTACTTTCGTTTTTTATGCGTTTTTGTTCACGCATCGGCTTGATTCTCGCCGCGCGCTTGAAATACGAGCGCGTCCGGTAGGTTATCAGCGGATCGAAGAGATTGTAAACGGCCGTTCGTCGTTTGTCTTCGGCGAAAACGACTTTGTTTAACGCGTAACCCACTTGTCCTTATCGTGCACAGCATGAGTGAACAAGAAGCAGAACCACAAAACCCACAGAACACCAATGTAAGACACAATCAATTGCGGTTTAGTTTTAGTTCTTTCATAATCTAATGCGTAATGCGTAATTTGAGGTGTTTGTATTGTTGATAACCAGGTAGGCATGTGAATAATTGAGGTATGTTGGTTTTGAATTGCAGATGAGTGCACATGATATGGAGAAGATGGAAGAGGAGAAGTTGAAGGCCAAGTATCCGGCGGGTGCAATGGCTGCAGGCAGGTCAATCAGTGGCCACACTGCTTTCTTACAAAAACGACTTGCTAAAGGAGTGAGTAATCTTCATTCACACGCGATTTTCTTAAAATATTGAGTAAAATATGTTAATTTCTTCCGTTTTTTAGCAAAAATTCTTTGATTCTGGTGATTATCAGATGGCAAAGCAGAAGATTGGCATCAATAAACAGCCACCGAAAGTCGCCGGCCCTGCGAATCCGTTCGGATCAACTGGCGATGCCATTCCCACACCGGAGACCGTCCCGGCACGAAAAACTTCCATAATCCAGCCGTCGAAGTTCACGCCGAACATCAGCTAGTTCCGCAGATGGCGGGCGGCGGTAGTTGTTGTTTAGTTCGCTCATCGGCAGCCACCCGCGCGTTCGGAAACGATGTTTATATTTTCCTATGTGCGTCGTCTTATTAATATTAGTATTCATTTGCTTATGAAAATCGTTCTCAATTAACTGGTGATACACATAAATCTATTAACACTAACAATTATTTGAGTTATCTCCACAACAGCACTAGCACTAGCGCTACAACTTCGAATGGATGATTGTAAAGTAAACGAAAACAAAAAGACTTTGGGCTGAGAGTCACCTTTATTAGGTCATTAGGTATTATAATATTTTGGTCAGCTGTTGATTAACAAAGAAAATTACTAACTGAAACAAATCGAGGCAAAGGAGTTGCATTAAAATGTGAATTTATGTATTAAATTACTACTTTTTAAACAGATTTTCTGTAAATCTCACCGGTTTTCGAAGAATATTTAGTTTAGTATTAGTTTTTTAACTAAATTTTATTGTTTTGTATATTGGGTTGACTATTTGTAAGGCGCAATACTGCGCAGACGCTACGCGCATCTGTTGACGTTCACACATTTTATTTGTGGATTGTGGTGATTGTGGACAACAACTCAACAACCCGATCGCCATATTTATCGCCTCCGCGAACTCGTTTTCCACTGCTATCTGCGCTCGGGGTGCACTGTGTCTCGCCGATAATAAACACCCGCGTCATGCCAATGGCCATCGGCGTGTTTTGACGACGTGGACGGCGAGAGATCTTGCGTTTAAACCGATCCCTTGACTGGGTGCGTGCTGCAAAGCAACGAACATGAATCGTAGCGGTGACGGGCTGGTGCAGCGGCGCAACATTCTCCGCGAAGGCCGTGATGACGGCACCCCTCGCGACCTCAATTCACCCGAAGAGAAAAAGGCCGACCGAGGCGAAGGCGCCGACGATGGCGACTCCAAAGAGACGCGGCTCACACTAATGGAAGAAGTGCTTTTACTGGGTCTCAAAGATAAGGAAGTGAGTTCATTCACAGCCATAATCTGCGTATTCTAATTACCTCATTCTTGACAAATATTTGTTCTGTTATACCAGGGCTACACATCGTTTTGGAATGATTGCATTTCAAGTGGACTCAGAGGTTGTATCCTGATTGAATTGGGCTTGAAAGGTAAAGTTGAGCTGGAAAAAGCGGGTATGCGACGTAAATGCCTACAGAGTCGAAAACTCGTTTTGAAAAACGATTCTGCCACCGGAGATGTCCTGCTGGATGAGACTTTAAAACATTTAAAGGAAACACAACCGCCAGAAGGGGTACAGTGTTGGATTGAGTATTTGAGTGGCGAAACGTGGAACCCGCTTAAGCTGCGTTATCAACTGAAAAACGTCCGGGAGCGTCTAGCGAAGAATCTAGTTGAGAAGGGCGTGCTTACAACGGAGAAACAAAACTTTCTCCTGTTTGACATGACGACACATCCGCTGACAGATAATATTGCCAAGAGTAGACTAGTTAAAAGGTACTAAACCTATTTATAAACCTCGAAGTTGTAATATTTTAATATTTTATGATTTATTTTCTCTATAGATACAAGACGCTGTTCTAAGTCGATGGGTGAACGATCCACAACGAATGGACCAACGCACGCTAGCGCTCATCTTCCTCGCGCACGCCAGCGATGTCCTGGAGAATGCATTCGCGCCGCTCAACGACGACGACTACGAGCTGGCGATGAAGCGCGTCCGTGAGCTGCTGGACCTCGACTTTGAGCAGGAGGCTACCAAGCCCAACACCAACGAGGTGCTGTGGGCCGTTTTCGGCACATTCACCAAGTAAATACGCTGCGCACGCTCGCCAAGGTGGACGATTTCAGTATTTACGACGCGACGTGCAGTCGCGCACAGTGCAAACAATTCACGACCATTCAAAAAAAAACAGGAAAAACACGAAAACATTTATATGATAAACGTTGAGCGAGCGCAAACGGAAACATCACTCGTGTGAAATATTTACCCGATGATAGAGGATAGCAGAAGACGCAAAGAATCTTAGCGAATAAGGATAAATAAATAAATAAATATTGAAGACATGTATGTGATACATGCAAGTATAATGTAACGCACTCTCGCCGAGCGCGGTATTAACGGATAAACGCCAGTGTCGTAAGATAAATAATCTTAACTATTGTTAATGCATATAAATTTGTACATAACTTGTTTTTATACACGAATTATCGAGATTAATCGGGAACGGTGGCGATGCGCAAAGCTTCAAATTTCTTCTCGGCATTCGAGATGTTTTTTTTTTTCTATTACGATTGCGTTCCGTAGTGCTATACTTGTAAAAATTGTTATTCATCGTTTAGTTAGGCCACGTTTCAAAGTATTTACGTTTAGAGAGTGGAACAATGAAGTGATAATATGCGTGAAATTAATTTTAATCAATTACTGGGTAAAAATATATTGCATCGTTCGCATTACACACAAAAATGGAAAACAATGTACATTCACTTGGAATTTCACCGTCTCGGTCAAAAAGGTATGTTCTAAGGAATACAACGCGCATACATTTTTTGGTCTTGTACATAACTTACTAAAAATAAATATGAATATCATCAAATGTCATGGAATGCGGCTGCGAGGCGGAAGACCACTACTAGTAAAATACTGATATGTCAGTTAATTTAACCTCAAATCGACGCTTTTCGAAAGTTATCGAGATACACAACACCAACGCAACCTAAGTACATATTGTAAATTAGTTTATAATCAGTTTATATTCTTATTTCTTTAAAATTGCACTAGATGTGTCAAAGAGTGTCAAAAGTTGGCAACGCATGCGCACCGTATCAAAGTTGAAGGTTGAGTTCACAGCTCGGTGCTCATTTCCGCTGCGCAAGTGGCGTGCTTCACCGGCGATACTCCCGATGGGCTGGCCTGTAATCCCGGCGTTCTCTTGTTCGCGACCGGCGATCCTGTTCCGAGTGCAGCGATGGTGGACGCGGGGGCTGCAGCGGAGGCATCTCCACTTGCCTGTGACACCTAGAATTCACCAACACACCACCGCAGAGTAAGAATTTTAACATATTTTTACATCGCCATTTTGTTTGTGTTTTGAATTGTGTTTTAAGCGAAAGCGCCGTATGATACAAAAGCGTATACTTACTGATAGCTGCGTATTAGAGGAGTTAGTACGTATTCCAAGCTGACCGAGCGAGAGTCGTTACAGAGCGAAGACAGTGGGGTTTTAGCGATATGAGCGGTGGCGGTAGTGGCGGCGGCAGCAGCGTGCCGATTACGCCCACTTTGCCATCTCTGCAGGCGCGTGAAAAATAAAGCAAATAGGAAATATAGCGCACGCTCGCCTCGCAAACCAGCGTTTGTTTTCGATGCGAGTAATAAAATGCAAGATGAAAGAAAGAAGCATATTTACAACCATGAGAAATGTTATGAGAATATTCCCACCGGTGTTAATGCATTAATTAATAAGCCGTTTGGTTTTTATTCTTTGCGCTTTCTTTCCACCTTTTAAGCCGCCATTTTAAAGAAATGTCCGCAAAAGTTGCGCTATCGACTTACGTGACCCATAGTGGACTTCCTAGCTTCATGTAAATGTTTCGGATTGCCATTTCTAAAACACACGCCGCACATCGGTTAAAATAATTAATTAACGTGTTTCGCATAAATTTACCTATCATCCTGTTCGCCTCCCAGTCCTGAATCGGAATGCTCATGATGGATGACGCGCGGCAGTCCGTTATCGTTATGATTGCCTAAATTAATTAAATTATTGCCATTGCTGAAAGGATTCGACGGTGCGTACAGGCCGGATTTAGGCATTTGGCTCATTGCTCCCGCCTCGATGCTCAGTTGATCAATGCTGTGAAATTAATTAGTATGAGTGTAATTTAATTAAATTCATTTGTTCAGCGTGCGCGCCGCTCACCGAGGTAACATGCTCATTGCGATTGGATCGTTTTCCGGTTTGTAGCTTGTCTTGATGCCAGCGCGGCGGTTTTCCATCCCATGTGGTGTGTATGGGGGTGGGGGACTCTCGTTTCGTTCGGTTTGCTTTAAATCACGAATTTGCGGAAATTCGCTACAAAAACAAGCATAAATAAAATTGCCGAAAACCGGAAGCGTAATTTAGGAAAGTAGTTTCTTACGTTTTATGCTGTGATGCTTTAATTTTCATTGCCTTGGCATGATTAGTCTGCACCACCGTGTAGGGAATCTCCCTCAGCTGGGAATCACTCATTCCGGTAGTGTCGATGAGTTTAAACTCCAAATGTTTGCGCAGTTCATCCGACAGCCATTTATTTCCGTCGGTGGGTTTCGCCGCGCGTGTTTTACGCCCTCTAGCACTGCCAATTGTACCATCATTACTCGCTGGAGGTAGGCTAGGATTATTATTCACTTGGTCCAATTCATTTTCCGGGTTTCCGGGAAAACCACTATTAATTGGAACACCCGCACCTACAGCTTGATAATTCCGGCGATTTCGTACAACATTCGCGCGTTGTACATTCGTCTGCTGGCCTTCAGTTTGTTGTTTCCGTTGTTGTGCCTGTTGCACCGCCTTCCATTGAGATTCGGAGTCAACCAGCTCGTAATGGCTGTCACTGCGTTCCGGTTTACGACTACGACTCTGCGACTTCCTTCTGTGTGACGAATGCGACTGATTTTCATGTTCCGAACCTGAATCTCTACGATTTCTCGATCGATGTCTACGATGTTTCCGATGTGAGCGTCCCGAACTCTTCGATAATTCACTTTCATTATCCGAAGTGATCCGACTCAGATGTTTTTTACGTTTGCACGAACGTGACTCATTTGAACTCTGACTATCAACCGACGAGGAGCGATACCTGGGTCCGGCCGACCGCACCGATCGTGGACTGGGCGGAAGCGAAGTGTTGTACAACCCTCTGGAATGCGGTTGCGTCCACGGTGCGCTTCGTGTACTACGTGGCGAATCCGGCGCCTTGGTTGCGAACATAGGCGTGTAGCAGGATTTCGGCTGCGGGGCTTGCTCCCTACAGCACGTATCACTGATTAAAATTCAAGTCACAGCACGGCGAAGACAATGTTTACATTTGAACATGTTTCAACTTACAAATGAGCCGGTTGCGGAACAGACACGTATTTGACTTCGCCCGGCTGATGGTGCTCGATGGGTTTGTCCGCTGGTGTTGGATCAGTGGCGGCGTCGCCGGCGCGTCGCTGGTAGCGTCGCGACGAGACGCGAAGGAACGAAGGCGGAGTGCGCACCTTTATCTGGGCATCACGCACCGCCTGCTTTTCTGTCCGCCCGCTACGAGGAAAGGAAAAACAACCCGTAATCAACAACACCCTCGCAACACCTAATTTATGCGCCTGCATTCTTTACAAAACATACAGTGTGTTTTTTTTTTCATTATTTTCTTCACTCACCTGTATCGAAAACGTGAGCTTAAAGCAAAAATATCTGGAGATGTTGGCGACACCTGCACTAACCGGAAAAACGCATGGTGTTCAATACAACACTTCCAGAGGTGTTTACACGCCGACTTTGACGGTGTCTCAAACCCATACGTACTTTCATCATTCTAAACAAAGTCTTATTTAGATCCAACGACAATTGCTGTAGGAAATTGTTGCTTACGTTTTTATCCGTGACGCGCAGCATAAAATAGCGTCCCTTGAAGTAGATCTTGGAAATGCGCGGCCAGTAATAGTTCCCCACGGTGTTCTTGTTCCTCAGCACGATGATACCACTCGGTGTCAGGCCCAGGAAGTACTCCACATTGTCCTCGCCCTGCAAACACACGCGTTTTTATTATTACAACGCGCGCGCGCGCGAGTTTTATGATTTTATTACCAGAACTGGATGCAGGTCGACGCCGTACATGTCGAGCCATTTGACTTTATCGAGATAGCTTAGTTCCGCTACCGAAGGTAATTGCCCTCTGAAAATTACACTGTGGATGCATTCACGTTTCGCCTGGCCATATATTTCTTACAATCACGTTGTAGAAGATTGTACAACATTTCGAAAACGCGCGTAACGCAAGCGGAAATTTTAATTATGAGTCGATAATAATGAGCGGCGGGTCGTGAACAGTTATACTTACACAAGCGTCTTGTGCAGATCGGAGATTTTGTTCTCTAACTCGATGGATTGGTTCGTCAGCAGGCGGAATTCGGACACGTAGCCGGGCATATGGCGTCGCGAATCATAATCACCCAATTCGGCTAAGAAATTTTGTATTTATTTGTACAGTTTCTTAAGAGGAATGTTAATTTTACTTACATTGAACAACTGATGCGCCTAACTCAGCTGCCAACTCGAAGGACACCGGTAGGCGGCCCTGAAGAATGTCCTGCTTCACTTGCAGGAAGAATTGGTACCTAGCAAATAGTTAATACTTGAAAAGTGTTCCAACCGCCTCCGACTGACAGCACGATAATTAAAGCGTGCACGCTGAACGATGAAAGACAGGCGAAGAAAAATGAAGTTGCGTTTACGGTAATTACGTTTCGTGTGTGTGTGTGGACCTGTGTGAAGACACACGAAGGTCATCATAAGTTAAATATTCGTGTTTCATTTCGAATGCGAATGTTGGAAGCATGTTATGAGCGCTAATTTCATAGCATCCCGCCGCTGAAATTCATCAAAACGAAAACAAAAACTTTTGATTTCACTCGCCGTGTTGATATCTTATACAGTATATACGAAATAACGAGATAGAAGGCCAGCAACGACAATAAACATTGTCTTTATAGACGTATCGCATTACAGACACCATTTTCGGTGATGCTATGACATCATACGTATCACATTATTCAGTGAATGTGAATTTCACTTTTTTATAGTTTTAATATGTGATGTAAGAAGTTTTCGGACACATTGTATACCGGTGGAAATGGGCACGCACGTACGGGCGAGATTTACTCGGGTTGTTATTGCCGGCAGCAAGGTCCGAAGATACCGAAACCAAACTAGCAATTACTGTAATCGACTAGAACACAAAACGCTCGCGTCTGACCGTGGTGGTGTGGTAACGTTTAAAAAAACCAAACACACAAGACACAAAAAACGAAGTAATAAGCATCTAACAACAGCCATATTGTTCATTCTTGAATCATTTTATATTTTACACTTACCTGGTGATCTCTTCGAGGAGTTTGCATGGATCGGCCGCGTAGAACTTGACGCCGAAGTAGAACGTCACCGGCGTGTTGTCGGCGTCGCCTTTCAGCTGCTTCGAGAGCTTCTTCGACGGATCCAGCCAGTGCTATAGGAGCGTGCGCGTGAGCGGCATTATAATGTGTGTTAACCGTGTGAGCGCACGCTTTTAATTAGCGATTAGATTAAATTAATTGCGAATTAATTACCGTTTGTCCGTCCGGGTCCAGGTAGCGTAGGCCGAAGTAGGCTGTTTCGAGTAAGTTGAGGTGTTTCGTGACTACGTCCAATAATAACTGCCCGGCCGAATTATCCTTCAAAATTACATCGTTTTTCTCTTTGTTTATTTATATAATTTAAAGAATATAAACAATGACGTGTTGCATTTTAAGGTGTAACGCGATACACGTAGCAATTGGAAGCATTCCGGCAATTACGCGCCGTGGAGAAAAAAACGTTTTTCTTTTTTTCGAAAAACGCCTCGGTTCATTTCTCACGCTGCTTGTACCTTTCGAGAGGTTGAACACCACCGCCGCCGGCAAACGGGTGAAAAAACACAAAACGCACAGGCGCATAATTGCCGCATAATGCCCGCGCGCCATCGTTACTTTCGTATTCTTAATAAATACGCATGCGAACGCATCAATATGCACACAACTCACCTGAATCTCGTGCACGAGCTCTTGCTCGTCCAGCAGGACGATCTTGCATGTGACAGCGCGTGGTTTCGTGCAGAAGCATTCCATTTTCTTTCTCCCTGCGCGCAGAAATTATTTTATTATTATCATCGCCTGCAGCGCAATAAAAGCGTAATTATTATTAGCGCGTTGTGTCACCAGGCAGGGCGTAACGCCATCACGCCGCTTCGATCAAGTCATTAGCGCCGTTTGGGCTTTCAGCATGTAAATTGATATCAAAAACGTGTATTCTAATATCCGCTATTTCCAATTTCCGGCGCAGACCTGTCCGACGAGCGCTTCGAGCGGTTCGACCACTCTCGCATGCCAATGCAAGCATAAAAATCCAAAAACACATCACATCCTCTCAATAATCCACTCGAATTCGATTCTAATCGAGTCACAACAAAGCAGGAAGTTTTAACATTCAATATAATTTATATAAGTATCACGAGATGAGCGCAAAAAACTCACTGTGGAAAAAACTGCGAGTTGATATAACTTAACGTGACGAACTTCCTGTTTGTTGTCTTGGGCGCGTATGCACAGTCATTATTGTCTCAGTTCTTCAGCCGAAGAGATATACAGAGTGTTTAAAATCATCAGAATAAAATAATCCACGTGCGGCGCAATTTTAATTGTCGGGTGGCTAAATGAAGCGAAGATGCGCTCGCCCAGAGTGAAGTTCAGCTTACGGTAATCGCGGTAATAGATGCTCTCGCAAGCTGGAGCATGAGCGGCGCGGTAGCATGCAATTACCTGTTCCTGGCGCTGAATTGCCATCCAAGCTAGTTGGATGCATAGAAAACGCGCTCGACTTTGTAAGTTGTAAATATTTTACCTCATTAAACACATTGCCATTTGAATAAAGCGCTGAGTGTTTTTTATTTATTTTTGAAGTAGTTTATTAGTTACCTTGATTTCTGTAGAGGAATAACGATGATTAATTGTCTAAATTGTTGATTTCTTTCAACTTTTGATTTAGTTGCGCTTAGTAATTAATTAATGGCTGAGAATCGCCGCCGGTGTTGGTGCGGCAGCGCCGATTTCGAACAATACACAGCGTTTGCACCATTGTTCGGACGTTCAACTTTAAAATCCTAGTTGAAAATCAGACCGCGTGTACGCGCCGCGCTCGGTGCACGAAACGCACACAAACACCGCACACCTCTTCGCCGGAGAATTAATCGCGCACGCATCCACCCGCACTGGTCAATAATCTAAACGGAATTACAATTACGCTTCTGTTGTAATATTAATCCAGGTGTAAAAATAGTTGGCGGGTGTGCGCTGGTGTGGATGTCTTCGCAGGTGAAAAACGCGCTGCTCGTGTCTGAAGAGCGGACCGCGCTCCCCGACGTCTTCGACGCGACTGGCGGGGACTGGCCCCAGCAACCGAACGCAACAGTCGCTGCTCGAACGTGCGCCTCTAGGTGCGACGAAGAAGCAGCATTTTACTCTAACCGGGGTCGCGCCGGCCGATAGCCGGAGGAGCGGACGCACTTCTTCGGTTCGTCTTCGTGTGCCCGCCAGCAGAAACAGGCAGAAGAACGGCGAAGGGTCAGCGTTCAGCTGCGCGGTTTCTGGAATCATCGCGCCGCGGTTTTGCATTCGGTGCATACAGCGCAATGGAGCGTAAATCACTCGAAAGATAAAGATTTATATCGCTGCGGCCGACATTTGCAATAATATCCAAATCGTAAACTCCGATGAATGCGGGACAATTAAAATTATCAATGCACGAGATACTATTAAATTTATGGAGGAAAGAATTTAAATTCCTATAAAGTTTTCCATATTTTATGCTTTATGCGTCGTCATTCAGATGGCAATACTAAACATTTCAAATTTCGACCGCTAGATGTCGCTACGTGTCCTAGAAATATATTTTATTACATTTTAAAATGCCCCCCGAGACGATAACGATTTTTATCCGCCGGAATGTTTACGTTTTACACCCGATAAAAAATAATACAATAATAGTGTTGTTTATTTAGTTTTTCCTCTATTGTTACGGATACATAGTTGTATTATTCTCCTTTTTGACGAAAAAGTCGCCTCCAAGGTGTGTGAATCTAGCGAGGAGGTTGCGCGCACACACGGAACTCGTACGGTGGCGGCGGGGACAAGGTAAACGTGCAATTGTAGCATAAATCGTAATAAAACGGCCCACGCCGCGGTGGGCTCGCAACATGAGACGGTTCGCCACGGCCAGTCGTGTAGCGTACCGGTCGCAAGCGCATTTATTTATCTATGATTCTTTGCTCGGCCGATCCGACACGATCTCTTCGAGCGCTTCGAGTCTTCGCCACTCTCGGATGGTATTTCACAGGCGTGCGCGGCGTGCGCTTTCCCGTATTCAAGCTACGACACCAGTTGAGGATTTTATCTCTTTCTGCTGCATAGACGAGTCTGGTGCTAACGCTGCGCAGTATGTTTAGTTGAGCTTGGGCTTCGGTAATGTTCGAGTCGCGCTCGGTTTTCGTATCTAGCAACTAGCCAGGCAGCAGTACCAGTAGGCAGCCGCTAGGCCAGCGCAGTTCTTGGGTTTGGTTCGCGTCGACGCGTTGCGCGCTGCTGCTGAGAGAGAGTGCTGTTTTGGGGCGAAGCACCAACCCACACCGCAGCGACCGACCGACTAAACAATAAACAATTATTTTTTATACATCGCGCACGCCGCGTTTAGTGCTGCAAACATTGGACACACTTTCATCGCGCCAGTGTTATCACATTCTTTGCGGGTTGCAGTTGTTTTGCGTGAGTGTGCAAACGGGGCAGGTCTCTGCGTGTTTGTGCTCTGTGTGCGTGCGGCGCGACGAGATGTCGATGCCGATGTCGAAGATGCGATGAATTAATAAACACCCAGGAATAACCTCTTCGCGCAACCTGCGAGATTCGTGTGTGTGTGTTCCGCAGGGTGTTAAAGGTGTGGATTGCGCTCCGACGTGTCCCCGCGCGCGGGCGTAAGACAAAAACAATATCGCACCGCGCACGCCGACCAAGTGTGTTTACCAATTCGCCAAGAACAAAATTGGATTTAATTAGCCACGCGTGTGTTATTTTCCCCTCTTGTATATTTTAATTTTTGTGAATAGTGCTCAGTGTGTGCGTGTGGTGTGCGAGCAGCGAGCGGATGTTCGATTGTTAAAAATCGTGACGATTGTGATTGCAGCATCACACACACTCACACACCAAAACGCCAGAGAGCCGCGGCTTCAGGCCCAGCATCCGCATCTTTCGCCGCCGTGCTCTTGCACATTGTCGAGAAGGGGGGCAAAGGACACATGTCTGCCGGTGCCGCATTCTCAAACTAGGTGGGTAACAACAGGCAAGCATTCGGTGCGCACACCGCGTAAAAGCGAGCGTAACTGTACATTGATAATGACCATATTCCGAACGTTTTCGAACCAAAACTGAGCACATAACGCTTTCTATCGCGCGGATATTCTCTTTTGTTTTGCCACTCGATTGTTATGCTTGGCCCCCGATGGCTAATCGTAAAGTAATGACCGCGCGCGTACTGGCTTCAAATTTTTGTTGTGGGTGCGCGCGTGTAAACCCAGTGAGCAGCCAACATATGGACGCGGAGAGGAGCTGAGAGCTAAGGGTGAGACGACGACGCGCTCCGCCGACCCCAGATTCATCATTGCGTTATTCACTTCACTTCTCCTTTCGCTCGCAGCCCGCCGTAGCGCACAACAAACTTACACCAACACCACCACCACCCTAGGCGCACTCGACGCCCGGTCGGGCGCTAATGTCTCCCATGGCGCAAAAGATGCGCGCGTATTTGTATAAAGATGACACATAACTTAATTGCCTTATAGTGCTCACCAGACGTTGATATTAGATATTAGATTCGGGCGAGCGGCAAATCCGGCCTTTCACAAACGCGCCGGAGGATGTGTGAAGCACAGATAGACAGCGTGTTTGTGTGCGCGGGCCGGCTTACATCGAAACTTTGGAACGCGGGGGCGGGTGTGTGTCTGCTGCTCTGTGTGTATACGTGTGGGGGGACGGGAAATCACTTGAATTATGAATTCCCTGGCGTTGTTGCCTCCTCAACGCCTGTCCCGCCAGCCAACCCGCCCGCCCGCGATTGTGATTACTTCGCAAACTCTCCGAAACTCGCCCAACTTACTGCTCGCCCGCTGCATGGTTGGGGCTTTTGTAATTGATAATTTGACTTTATACGCGCTCATTTTGTTTGCTGCGAGCCCGTCTGGCGAGAGAGGGCAAAAATGAATGGATTTAATAGTTGACAGCATGGGACGCCTTTAGGGGTGGTGGTGGCGCACTTCATAAAACATCGGCCCCGGTGGTGGCCGGTGATCGCCGGGGACATATGTGTGCAAGTTACACTCGTCCCCGACACCCTTTTCACTTTTTACAACACTATCAACTCGGGTACACGACATTGTAGATAAATATTAGGGTAGGATGAGAAGGGTGCTATGCGTTTGCGACGAAGCGTTGCGGAATATGGGTCTATAATTATGGAAATTTCGAATATCGAACGCAACACATGTTGACATAACTTGTCTCTTGTTGCTATTACATTCGCCGGGGCATTTCCTATGACGGGAAGCAAGTACCTGATAAGTACAGTTACGATAACACTATTTGAAGATTGTATTATTGATTTGTTGATAATGTGTGTTTTCTTATTGCCATGTACTGGAGAGCGTTTCTCGTTTGCTTTCAGTGTGGCACTAATGACGTGAGAGTCGTAGCAGAAATGCAGCGGTCATCGCTGTGCGTCGCGTTGGCGGCCTGCCTGCTGCTGGCCGTCGGCGAGGGCAGCAACGTGGTGCGCAACTTCTCCGACTCGGAGGTGGAGCGCTTCAATCATCTCGTCGTCGATATGAACACGGGGCGCGTGTATATCGGCGCCGTCAATCGCCTCTATCAACTCTCGCCGGATCTGGAGAATGTGCTCACGGCGACCACCGGCCCGGAGCTGGACGCCGACGAATGCTCGGTGCTGGAGTGCACCACATCTGTGAATAAGAAGCTCACCGACAACGTCAATAAAGCACTCGTCATCGATTACACCAATAGTAGACTGATTTCGTGCGGTAGTCTCTTCCAGGGCATGTGCACCGTGCGCAATTTGCACAATATCTCCGATGCGAATGTGAAGGCGATCCGCGAGGCGGTCGTGGCGAACAATGCGACCGCCTCGACGGTGGCGTTCATCGCGCCCGGACCTCCGAATCCGCCCGTATCGAAAGTGATGTATGTTGGAGTGACGTTCACCTTGGGGTCGCCGTATCGCTCGGAGGTGCCTGCCGTGAGCAGTCGCTCGCTGGAGAAGGACAAGATGTTTACCATCGCCCAGACGGCAGTCACTACCGGTACAAGGATGTTTGTTAATTCGCTGGCGCGCGAACGGTATCCCATCAACTATGTGTACGGGTTCTCCTCGGAGGGTTTTAGTTATTTCCTCACCACACAGATGAGGCATATGACCTCGAATCAGTACATCAGTAAGCTGGTGAGGGTATGTCACGACGATGAGAACTACTACTCGTACACGGAGATACCAATCGACTGTGTGAATGGCGGCCGGAAGTACAATCTGGTGCAGGCGGCGTACATGGGCAAAGCCGGATCGGAACTGGCGGCGGACCTAGGGATAACCGCTCAGGATGACGTCCTCTTCGCCGTGTTTAGCGAGAGCGACGCCACGCAGACGGGTAAACCATCCGAGCTGAGTGCGTTGTGCGTCTACTCGCTGAAAGCCATCCGGCGGAAGTTTATGGCAAACATCAAGAACTGCTTCAGCGGCAAGGGCGAACGCGGCCTGGACTTTATCTCGCCCAGCCACAAATGCGTGCCGACGGTGAGTGCCAAACGAAAGTTTTCATTTCCTTTTCGGTACTTTATGCGTGTCTAGCAAGGTGGAAGTTGTACACCCCAGGTGTGGGTGCATCTTGCACACCCTTCGCGCTTTGGAGAGAGAGTCAGTCGGTAGCGGTGGCGGCGGCAGCGGCGGTGAGCGAATCGTACAGTCTGCCCTGGCGCGCGGCGCTCGCTCGCCGGAGTATTGATCGATTTCAGCCGGGCCTTCGTCATGCAAGCCCTCGCCGGCTCGCTCCCCGTGCGCGCGCGGCCCACCACGGCCCACGTTTCGTCGTTTCGCCCCGGCTGTTTCTCTCCCTCGCCGCCTCGGTGTGCTGCTCGCCCGCCCGCCGCTCATTCATCTCGCGCACTAAATTCACGTGCATCCCGTGCTTCTTATTCGCATACGGGCGCGCGACGTGCACCTTCATCACCGCCGATGCACACCCCCTACTTATACGCTCCGCTCGCCGCCGCAATGGCTCCTGCTCTTCACTCGATACACACAATACACCTTCCGCGCGTTGTTGCGAATTCTTCCTCTGGCGGGCGGCGCGCGCCCGGCCGACGAATGCGGATATTAACAAAAGCTATCTGGCTATCTCTCGCATCTCTCTCGACTATAATTGAACCATTAATGCACGGCAGAATGGTCGGGAGCTGGTTGTGCGCCGCTGCTCTCTCCTCTCCACTCCAGTGAGCGCCCCGCGCCGCACACGGGGTGCAAGCACAACGCCGCTGCTCGCATTATTTCTTTCGTTTGTTTGATGACTTATATATAGACGCGCCCGGCTTCCGACAATCAGATTAAATCTAAATGCACTGCGCGCTTCGAGGGCGGGAGTAAACAATGTTTAAAAAAGGACTCGCGCGCAAGGATGGCAGATAAATAAACGCCGGAATTGGAGGAGCGAGCACCGCTTTTTTTTTGCAGCGCCAGGCGCGACCGACCGACGACCGGTGCTTTATTTCTTGCGCCCGGCCGATAGCATATGTTCCGTCCGGTTGATTCATTCCCCCGGTTCGCGTAAAACGCAAATCGACATCAATTCCAGGATGCTCTCTCGCGCGCGCGAACGCGCTCTGCTATCTGTGCCTACGGAACGACCCACGACCGGGCCGGAGCGACATTTATTTAATTTCATCTTTTGTCGCCCCCGTGTGCGCGTGAATGATGGTTATGGCATGTTGTAACGTCGTTTCGAAAACGTTTAGGAAATTTTCGTTTAATTGAAAAATGGTCCGCGCCGCGAGTCACGTGAAAAACGCACGAAGGAAAGAAACATGAGCATTAGCGTGTGCTTTCATGTTAATATACTCTGTGTATCAAAATAACATCTTCCCATAGAATATGAATTTATTTCGGTGGAAGGGAAAAAACGTTTGAATTATATTAGAATACCGCTGCTTCGATCGTATCGATGATGTCGTAAATATTGATTCATCAGCGCGATAAATTACGTGTCAGTTTTTACGCACACTCTGTGTACTGCGTTTTAGCCTGTATGTGCAGTAATTTGTTTTGTGAGTTTTTTACGAGTAATGCATGATAAAACGTATGATTCGTTTTCGATTTATTTTTATGACGAACACAGAGCGCGCAATCGCCCGGTGTGCCCCGGCGCAAATAGCCGGGATTGTGTCGACTTGTGGAGGAATCGTAAACGTAATTATTAATCAATGACAACAACGGAATGGTCGATATTTTTATAGTGCTAGAGTACGCGCTGTTGATTCATTTTTCCACAAATCGTACATATTTAAGCGGATTTCGTCATTAATACTTCAAAGCGAACGCTGTGTCATTGTGCAAACATTTAATTAACCTAAGTGGACCGAAAGTAGACCAGCCCGGGGAGGAAAAACTACATGAATGCTTTTTTCTTCTTTTTCTTTTTTGATTTTACGATTTATTTATATTTTTGCTTTAGGTATTTACTTTTGCCTAGTAAAATTTATTATTTGCTCAAAGGGGCCGTCATGTTACGTCGACTTTTAGTATTGTTTGTTTTCGTCAAGGTTGCTGCATAGGTAGGAATAACTTGGGACATTAAAATCGCAGAATATCAAGTGCGGCGGTGTCATTAGAACGAAAGCAAGAAACCTGCAGGGGGAATTAAGTTATATGCATACACGCATGCGTGATTTGATTGCGTGATGAGGGTGGAAATGAATGTCTGAAATCACACTTTGAAGTTGGTAATATGCACTGGATAAATATAGATTTTTGTCTGGGCGAAAAAGTTGCGTGTGTACAACATTTCCATTTTTGCGGTTTTTACTACCTCAGAGGTCAGAATTTGATTTGATTTGCTTATATTTTATGCGTAAATAAACCCAAATATTTTCGTCGTGCTATTGTGAAAAGTCTTAATAGAGACGGCCGAATATGGCGCGCAAAACGCAAGCTTCAGCTTAGCCCATACAGCGATAGATAATGGTCTCGATAAAAAGAGTTGAAATGTTATACGCCGCGCGCGTACGAACGAAACCGTAGACTTTATTCGTGCTCGCAATGCGCACTTGGATGTGAAAGCAAAGCAAACCGCGGAGGAGAGTCTTTGGTTTGCGCGCTCTGCTCTTGGAAGTCGCCAACATGCCAACAACAATAATAGTGTGCCATGCCATGCCATGCCATTCCACCAACTCAGCGCAAACAAACCGAGTTGACTAGAAAGCGTACTCTACCGATATTCTTTCTCAATGTGCGCGCGTTGTGTTCGCCACGACGAAATATTTTGATAGAAAAACGGCGAAACTAGACTGGAGAATAGTTCGAAATATATCCAACGGTGGATTTTCGTCGCGCGACATCTCGGTGTGTTTGCCGTTTCTGGCGTAAAAACACACTCACACACAATCTATTGATTCGCGTTTTGCTTCATTCTGCTTCCGCCACTTTCATTACGCTACGCACGCACCGCACAATGAATCGCTTTCATCCGGGCGTCGTGTGAACCATCACTTCAGACCATCGGCAGCATTCCGCATTCGCGACGAGACAAAACAATTCGTTGCAAAGTAACCGGCTGTTGTAATTTTTTTCTCCTCTACTCTTGGTTTTTTCTCGCTATGCGCTCCTCGGCGAATTTAAATTAATACGCGAACGCCGCATGTCGGCGACGTGTACGAACACGCCGATTAAATGTTACTACATCGGCGCAGAATGCGCGAATGTGTGTAAAGAGCACGGGCAAGAGCAGCATTTCTTAATAACCTTGAGCATTGCCGACCTTTTCCGAAAACCCGCTCAACTCAACAATCATTGTAGGTAATATAACAAAATGTTGAAAAGTAATGTGGCATGTTGTGTCTGTTGTTTTCCGTGTTCCCACATGGCTCGCGCGGCGTGCGCTTAATTTTCCCGACGTTTTCGCGTTTGTTATCGAATTAGTGGCCGGCCACTTGACGGGCACGCAATGAACCGTTGAATTGTTGCTATCGCGGCGTCTGGGGCCCGCTTTGTGCGTTAATGTTAAAAATAGAAAATAATTGTGTTACAAAGACGATAACAATTATTACACAGGATATGGCGCGCCGCACGAAGAGACGCGCAGCTCGCGCTCGCTCGCTCGCGTCCATGAAAAGTAAGAAGCGCACAGCGAGATGCGAGCGAGCGAGTACATTGAAATATGTACATTAATACACACCGGGTTTTATATTACATTACATTACATTGTAGCCATTGCTGACTCCTCTGACTCTCTGTGGGCTGCACGAAGCATTTTTATTTCTATAATGTCTTTCTGCAAATTGCAGCTGAAACAAAGTGCGCAAAAGTTGTAATTGTAAGAGTTTACAATCAAGTCGTGTCAGGGCTAGAGTAAACTGAACTGAAGAGGATAATCTCCTCTCCTCTCATCCATGTGTGTGCTAAACGCGATAAAACTCTTCGAAGAGAGAATTGACGGGAAATTTGTCGCAGTTTTTACGCGTTGTCTCTGTGTTATCCGCTGCGAGCGTTAAGAGGATATCTCGAAACGGACGCAACCGACAATGACGACATCTCTACTAACTAGCGTTTTATTGAAGATAATGCATAATGCGCCTGCCGACGCTAGAGCAGGCAGGCAGGCTGTGCATCCATCAAAAAGCAGATTATTAAATAAATCCATTGTTGTCCGGCGCATATAAAAACATCATCATCATTCATCGCCTGCGCGCGCGCCTGCATTAGAAATCGCGTTCGTTTGCTTGTTGTTGTGTTGTGTTGTATTGCTAAACTCGCGTTTCCTCCATTGGCATAACCATAACAGATGAAGAAAGGAGTCGAAGCTGGAGAGGAGGGAGGTAATGCAGGCGGCAATAAACAAAATCCAATCGTAACGGAAACGCATGCAATAATTAGATTATTGCGAAATATCCCGCGTAGCAAATTGGCGTTCGCACGGGCCGGTCGTTTTCGTGCGCCACGCTCCGCTCGTCGCATCGCGCCCGCCCGCCCGGCGCACGGTTTTTGATTTTCGACGCGGAATGCGCGCAGATTGGCCGCGACGTGTCGTGCGATTCGTAACTCACGGCGCACGAGAGATGAGTAAGTTGTGACTGCGAGAGCCAGCGTGCGCGCGAGAGCAGCGTAAAAGAACAAAGGATGAGCATGAGCCACGGCGTGCACACGACTTGCGCTCAGGCCGAAAAGGTAACGCGAGACCGAAGAAACTCTTCTCTTCTTCAGCGGCCGTGCGCGTCGGGAGAGAGACACGAACGACTCGCGCACGACTCTTGGTCTTTCACTGTGGATGGAAGAAAACGTACAAACGGTCAAAGCGTTGTTGTGTAAAGCCTTTCATATTCTTCAGAAACTCTTACTTTACTTAATTTACTGCAATAATTACCGGTTATTATAAAAATTGTTAAAACTGTTGTCATGGTAACGCGCAATGTTACCAAAAATTTGTCTTCCATGTCAGGGTTAAGTCAAGTTAATCTAAAACTTAGCTCAAGTTAACACCGATATGCTTCGTACTCTTTATTTTACTTAACTTCTAGTTATGCGAGTTGCTGTGCCCCAGATGTGCAATCGCGGTCTTCGTTTCTTCACTTCACGCAGTCAACTTCACCTAATTGCCGTGTTTGCTTACCTTAGCAGCGCGCGCGCACGCGCACAATGCGCGCAAACTAAAAACAAAACGCGCCGGCATTGCATTCTGTTGCGAATTTCACTCATTTAAGCGCGATTTTTTGCACTCTTACCTCAAGCTCACCGCATGCGTACACCGCGCCGGCGGAAATTGCCAACTTTCTTAGTCGCACTAAGTCAGTAGGCTACCGTTTCAATGCAAATCGCGATTAATCACACGCCTCGCGCCCGCTTAAAGAATGGAATGCGTCGCACGTGCGCGCGGTTCGCGTCGGGCGTGTGAAAAGTTCGCCGTCATGCATGGCATTGTGATGCTAAAACGGCGCTCATCGCACGTCCCGAAGATTACCCACTTAAGTAAATAGCGCGCTTATGATGCGCGTGTGGTTTTAGTTTCGGCGTGTGTTTAACAAACATTGCGTCGTGTTCGGCTCATCCGCAGGTATATGCCATATGAATGCCGCGCGTTCGTCGGAGCAGTTAACTTTGGTATGTGAGAATGGGAGTTGTTGGCCTGCTGCTGGCTGCTGGGCTGCTGGCCCTGAAAGAAAGCAAACGCGTTCCGCAGCGGACTGGCCGCATGTGTGAGAACCGCCGCGCGCCGGTCGAGGAGGGCTTTTTTTAGCGGTTTCATTCAGCGCCGGGCGCCTTCATTGACTAAAAATTACATCAACTCTCTCTTCATCATCATATCGGCTGTGGTTGGATGTTGATGATGAACTGCGCCGCCACCGCGCGAGCCACAATTTGAATAACAATTTGAATGTGTGAATGAATCGAGTTAAAAGCGGATTAACTATGGCTGCGGTATATGCAAACTAAATAAAAAGCGATGACGCATGAATATTAATGCACATCGTCTCGCGGTGTAAATATAATGCAAGTGTGGCTGTTTAACACGCGTGTTTATTATGAAGACAAATTAGTGATTGTTTTGTATTACAATGTAAACACGACGTCCGCTTTTGGTAGCTTTGGAAGTCAGTCGGGTTGTAGTAGATGTGGATGTGTTCTGGCTTGTTTCCGATTTAATTAATGTGTGTATATGTGGTGCTCTTTACAGAAGTTGAACACCATCGCTGAGGACTTCTGCGGACTGGACGTCAACACGCCGCTGGGCGGTGATATGCCGATGGCGGCGGTGCCCGTGCTGAATTTTCAGTCGCGGCTCACCGCCGTCGCCGCCACCTCCACCGGCGACTTTACCGTTGTTTTTATCGGAACCGCTAAGGGACACTTGAAAAAGGTACGGCTTCGATTTCTTTAATTTATTACGGTTTATCGGCTACAATGAGAAAGCTTTTTTTTATATAAAAGTGTGCGAAAAAATTCGACGGGAAATACGGAAATTAAATTATTTTACAAAAGTCGTGATTTTTTTTCTTGGTTGGAGTTTTGCAAACCGTTTTACGTTTAATGTCGGTTTTTGAATAAACCCCACTCGTGGCGTTTTTCCAATCTTGCCGCCTCGCCGTCGCTCCCGAGTGTTGGTTTAACACTCCTGAGTAGGTGGATAAAACCGTCACAAAGGTGCGGCGAAGACCGGCAGGATTCGAATATATCTCGAAAGGTCGAACCTAATTTATCCTTCGGGACGCTCTGCGCGCCGGGAGGTCGAACATCCCGACATCGTTACAGATGTAACGACGGCAGCGTGTTTTTGCACTTTTCACGCCTTCTTATTCGGCGGCGACCTGCCGTCGTCGACGTCGACTTCCTGGCGACCCGAAAAAGCGCGCGCGCGCGTCTATAAATTTCATTTTTATTTTATGCAAATGTATAAAAAATGGGAGTAAGCACTCTCTCCGCCGCTACCGTGAAAAAACGTACGCGACTGCCGAAATAAAAGCACGAAAAGAAAGCAATTTAAATTTGGATTTAAAGAGCAGTGAATAGCTCTCCTCTCCAGCTCCTCGTTGGGGGGGTAGCGGATGAGGCGTATAAAACCACCGCTACGGAGGCGGAAGCGCCGAAAAAAAACCGATAAGATAACTCCCGACTTGACTGACTTTGTGGGCTATATACAACCGTGATGCATAATGCCGAATGTTTGGTTTCTTTCTTCCCGCAGGTGGTAGTCGAATCGATTGAGAATGGGATAGAGTACGGGGACCTCATCATCGAGGAGGGTTCGCCCGTAAATCAAGATCTGCATTTCGATTCGCAAATGATGCATCTTTATGTGATGACCGAGAAGATGGTAAGTGCCTTTACGCGCTCGCCTCTCTACTTTAGGCGCGCTCTCGAAAAACTCTCGCCGGAAAAATATTCTCCGTAGCGCGCCGCGATTCCCGTTTCCGTCCATTTCCGTTTGTTTGCGACCTGGAAAAATATCATTCCATCATTCGAATGTGTAATGGTCCTTGGAGCGCGCGCGGGGCGCGCCATTCGCTTTCGGCCACTTTTCTTCGGTTTCTATTCCACGTTCCGTCGGCTGTTTTATAAGAAAATTAATCATCCAACGAGCGCGCCGTTGAGTAAAAAGCGCCCGGCCATAATCCGACAGCCCTAAGGAGTCGGAGCAACACTGTTGCTCCACGCCTATTCGGAAAAGTCATCATTTTTATCGATGGGTAGCCACGATGGTGGTTGCTGGTTTTTTTTTTTTTGCACTTTGGCAGAGGCGATGTGGAGGTGTCGGAGGCGCGCCTGCGGTGTGGGTAATTTCTATTTAAAAAAATACCTCACGTACATACATATTTGATAAGTTGGTGGTGAGCCGGCCAACGCGAGCGGCGCGCACGGGAATAGGGAACGGGAATGATCAATGAAAAGTGTATGTACTCCCAATAACGGAACGCAGGCGCTCTAGGTGTGTACGTGTGCCGGAACGAGCCCCCCGAACACCATTGATAGGTAGCGGCAGGCGGTGGCGGCGGCGGCAGCGGTGGCCTGCGAGGTAGCAGCAGCAGCCGCCCCCGCTGCGCGCCGCGCCTTTGCCGTTTCGAGTACCGGCGCGCACATGCCTGCAAGCGGAATGGCAGGAACAGGAACGACCGGCCCGGCAGGCAGGCAGCACAGGCATAGCAAGCAAGGGCGGGCAGTAAAAGCAGGAAAAGTACGCGAGACATGAGAAGCTCGAACCGCGCTCGACGTGCGGCTCTCGTCGCCCCCAACCTGCCAGCCGGCGCACCACTCGTAGTCGTACAACTTGTATCCACTTCACGAATCGGACCCACATATCATGTTCGCCGTTCACTCGACTTTATTTACATTTACATCGGGGCCCGGGAAACGAAATACCAGCGCGCATCCCAATCCCGATCCAATCCAATTCGCGTTATTCGAAAATCGCTCGCCGATTAGTCATCTTTATTACATTACTCTGCTAAAGTGCTCACTTTGCAAGAAAAAAATGAAATCATGCGCGTGAATTTTTTTCTAGCATTTACATTTATTTTGAATAATGATTATGTTACATTCATGTGTAGATCAACAATTCGTTTGAACGCGAAACGTGAAGGTCACACTCGGTATGAGTATGCGGCGCATTTTTCTCACTCGTTAGTCATCGCTTTCCTACAATAACATTTGACTTGCTTCATCCATTACTCAACATCACCGCTATTGATTTAAACAAAGCGGCTATCGCAAAAGCGCGCTGCCATGTGTGTGTATGCGACACTGCCAGATAGCGCACAATCTCTTTGTTTGTGCGCATTTATTCAGTTCGATCGAAATCAAAGTTCAACGCAATTTTTGCCGGTTTTCCTGATGCCGATTAGTCCGGCGTCACGTAGTCACTTAATTACCGCTTATTTTAGTGTGGCATTGTTTGGCCATTTCCCCATTGTTCGTCACTGAGGTGTACGAACATCTTGGCAATGTGAAATTAACATCCACCCGTCTTTCTTCGTTCGCTCTCTAGGTATCAAAGGTCAAAGTACAGGAATGCAGCGTGTACAAATCGTGCCTGGACTGCCTGAACGTCAAGGACCCGTACTGTGGCTGGTGCTCCCTGGAAAACAAGTAAGCATTTTGTCCACACGCGCACACACCTACAACTAACCCACCAAAAGAGGTGATGGTGGTAGTAGTGTTGTGTGGCGTTTGTGAATTGTAATTTCGACCACTTAGCGCTGACATTAGTCGTCGAGCACTAATGTGCGCTCGCTCGAAACATTCCGGCGCGTAAAATTTCAGCCAAACGGCGACAGTTTGCGCCCTCCTTAATTACATTAATTGCTAGACATTTGCGTGTACCACCCACAGGTGTAGCCTGCGTTCGGACTGCATGGACGCCGCCAAGGATCCGCTCTACTGGATCAGCAAGGGCGGGCGCTGTACGAGCATCACCACGGTAACTCCGAATCAACTGCAGCGCACCACTGCACGCACTGTAAGCGGATTTATTTATTCTTAGACTTTTGAGTCAAACGGAAAATGTGTGTGGTTCTTTTTCGATAGCTGGATCTGCAAATCGACAACCTGCCCACGTTACCTGGGCAATTTCAATGCGCGTTCACAGCGTTGGACAAAGTCCTGCTGACGAATGCGACGAAGAAGAATTACGGCGTGAACTGCACGACCCGCGGACTGATTCGCTGCCGTCGATCCCACCAGGACAACGTAAGATATTCCACCCTATTCATTGATTTTCCTTCCTTGCTCGGCTCACGTTTGTGATTTGGTGCTGCATACTGGCGTTTCAGATCACTTTACTGCGAAGCTCTCGGTGCGCATGCATTCGGGGACGGATTTCGTCGCGACGAACTTCACCTTCTTTGACTGCAACACGTACAGCTCATGCACGCAATGCGTCTCCTCGTCTTTCCCCTGCGATTGGTGCGTGGACGGACACCGGTGCACACATGACACTGCCGAGAATTGCCGGAATGATATTCTTGTAACTGGAGTTAATGTAAGTTGCGCGGACTTTTGCGATAGGGGTACTTTGACGATAATGTGGAATGCTTGCAGCGCGTGGGACCAAGTTATCGATCAGGACCGGCCTTCTGTCCGACGATCAATGCCACCGTGGGCAATTCGCCGGAAATTTTGGTCGCGTCCGGAATTAAGAAGGCCATCCGGGTGAAGGTGCATATCATTGGGCAGTTTATTGTACAAACACGCTTTGTCTGCCAGTTTAACATCGAGGGACGTGTCACTAGTGTGAATGCGCATCTTTTGGGTGACACGATCTACTGCGATCAAATGGAGTTTTCCTACACGTCGCGGGCGCCTAATATTACCGCGACGTTTGCTGTGATTTGGGGCGGTTCGAAACCATTGGATAATCCTGATAATATTCACAGTAAGTTTTTTTGTTTTCTTTGTTTGTGTTTGTCTAGGTAGGATGTTAAAAATGTTTGATTTTAGTTGTGATTTATCGTTGCCGAGACATGGCGGATAACTGCGGTATGTGTTTGGCGCTCTCGGAAAAGTATGAATGCGGATGGTGCCAGAGTTCGGATCGGTGCGAAGTGAAAGACCAATGTGAGCGCGGTTCGGCTGTCTGGCTGAACCGGCAACAGACGTGCCCCAATCCGGAGATTCTCTCGTTCACGCCCGATTTGGGCCCGTGGGAAGGCGATACAAATATCACCATCGACGGCATCAATCTCGGCAAGCAATTTCAGGATATTTACACGGGCGTCTCGATCGCTGGCATTAACTGCCAGCCGTACGAGCAGCTCTACGTGAAGACCAAACGCATCGTGTGTAAGGTGGACGGGCCCGGTACCAACCAGCCGCGCCAAGGGCCCGTCGTCGTGCGCGTCGAGGACTATCGCGGCGAGTCCAAGACACACTACCGCTTTGTCGATCCGGCAATCAAGGGCATTTCGCCAAAGTACGGCCCGAAAAGCGGCGGCACCATGCTGAAAATCACAGGCATGTATATGAATGCTGGTAGCAATATTCAGGCGTATATCAATGATCTTCCATGTAGAATAGTTTCGTAAGTAGTCCGATCGACAAGGGTTTCACCGCACCATATGCGACACGATATATCTGACGTGTGTGTTTTTTAGCACGGACCAAAATCAGGCGCTCTGCATCACGAGCGCCAGCGATAAGCCGAGCGTCGGCAAGCTGCGCATGAAGTTCGACAAGGGCGATCGCTTCTGCGAGGACGAGTTGTTTCAGTACGTTGAGGACCCGATCATCGATTCGGTCGAATCGGGGGTTGCCAGTCAGGTAAAACAGCCGAAGGGTATTCCGGCGGGTGGGATTAACATCTCGGTGACTGGTAAAAACCTGGCCTACATTCAGAATCCGCAAATGTATGTCTACTATGAGGAGAAAATGTTTGTTAGTGTAAGTATACACAACTTTTTTTTTTGGTTGTATTTTGTGAAATTTTAATCCTATTTGTATTCAACAGCGGTGCACAATTATAAGCAATACAAGCATGACTTGCGAGAGTCCTGTGATTGAGATTGAAGGACTGACGACATTGGATGCTGACTCACCGCTTGCGTTAGAGTACGGCTTCCGAATGGACAACGTCTCTGGAGTGCAGAATCTAACGCTGAATCGGGAGTTCAATCCGTTCCTGCTCTATCCCAACCCTGTGTTCGAACCCTTCGATAAGGAAGTCAAATACTACAAGTCTGATTATCTCAACATCAACGGCCTGAATATCGATAGGGCGTGCCAAGAGTCTGATGTAGAGGTTCGTATCGGCAATAATTTCTGCAATGTCACCTCGCTCTCCCGACAACAGTTGACTTGCCGTCCGCCGGAAACTCAACCGCCCGGTCACGGCGAGAACGGAGAAGTAAATGGCGAAGTCCTCCCCGAGGTGGTTGTCATTGTTGGCGGATCGTTGAAGTTCAATATTGGGAGTTTGTCCTATTCATCACCGCAAGGCATCAACGCTTCGTTTTCGAAACCAGTCGTCTACTTTGTTTGTGTGGTAGCCGTGGTGATTGTCATTGTCTTTGTGGTCTTCCTCATTGCGTACAGACGCAAATCGACTGAAAACAATCGCGTGCTCAAGAACATGCAGGAACAGATGGATATTCTCGAACTGCGTGTGGCGGCCGAGTGTAAGGAGGCGTTCGCTGAGTTACAAACTGAGATGACGGATCTGACTGGCGATCTCACCTCGGGTGGTATACCGTTCTTGGACTATCGCACTTATGCAATGAAAATACTCTTCCCGAACGTGGACGATCACGCTGTACTACAATGGGATCGGCCGGAATTACTCCGCAAAGATAAAGGCCTGCGTCTGTTCGGTCAGCTTATCATGAACAAGACGTTCTTGCTGTTGTTTATCCGCACACTGGAGAGTAATCGCTACTTCTCGATGCGCGATCGCGTCAACGTCGCCAGTCTGATTATGGTCACACTGCAGAGCAAAATGGAGTACTGCACGGATATTTTGAAGACTCTGCTTGCGGATTTGATTGAGAAGTGTATGGAGGGTAAGAGTCATCCGAAGCTGTTGCTGCGGCGGACTGAGAGCGTTGCCGAAAAGATGCTCAGCGCATGGTTCACATTCCTGCTGTACAAGTTTCTGCGCGAGTGCGCGGGCGAGCCACTGTTTATGCTCTTCAGAGCTATGAAGCAGCAGGTCGATAAGGGCCCAGTGGACTCGATCACCTCCGAGGCGAGGTATTCTCTCAGCGAGGAGAAGTTGATAAGACAATCCATAGATTTTAAACCAATGGTAAGCATATACCATAAAATTTGTTAATAAATTAGTTACTTATTTGTTTATTTGCAGACAATTTACGTTTCTATATCTCAACAAACCAATTTCGTTGGTGGATTGGATCACAACACCGAAAATGTTCCTGTAAAAGTATTAGATTGTGATACGATTAGCCAAGTAAAAGAAAAATCCTTAGATAGTATCTACAGGGCGACCCCTAGTTCGCAACGACCACGCAAGGAAGACCTAGATTTGGGTGAGTAACAAATAATTATATTCATAGCGGTGTTAAAATATGAAAAATTTTGTTTCTTTAAAGAATGGAGAACGGGTACGTCCGGCAGACTAATTTTATACGACGAAGACACAACGACAAAGACCGAAGGTAACTGGAAGCGACGCAATACTCTGCAACACTACCGCGTGCAGGACGGCGCCGGTTTGAATCTGGTGTCGAAGCAGAGCTCAATTTACAATCTGAGCATCTTTTCCGAGAAGAACGACAAGTCGCACAAGTACGAGACGCTCAATCTGAGCAAATTCAGCTCGGCAAGCCCGCCGATGAGCCGCGCTACCAGTCCGCTCAACACCGACCATGACCAGGACGTGCGTTGCTGGCATCTTGTGAAGCACCACGATGCCGACGCGCAGCGTGAGGGCGAGCGTGGCAATAAAATGGTGTCGGAGATTTACCTCACGCGTCTGCTGGCCACCAAAGGTACGATGCAGAAGTTCGTCGACGACTTGTTCGAGACGATATTCAGCACGGCGCATCGCGGTTCAGCGTTACCACTCGCCATCAAGTACATGTTCGACTTCCTGGACGACCAGGCCATTCAACATGGCATCTCCGATCCGGAGGTCGTGCACACGTGGAAGAGCAATTCGCTGCCACTGCGTTTCTGGGTGAATCTGATCAAGAATCCCAACTTTGTCTTCGACATTCACAAGTCGAACATTGTCGACTCGTGTCTGAGCGTTGTCGCGCAGACGTTTATGGATTCGTGTTCCACGTCCGATCATCGATTGGGTAAATTTATTTTATTTTAGCATTTTGAGCGGGTTTTTAATTTGAATTTACATTTCAGGCAAAGATTCCCCTAGTTCTAAGTTATTGTACGCTAAAGACATTCCGCAATACAAGGAATGGGTGGAGAGATACTATTCTGACATTAAATTAATGCCGGCCATCTCGGATCAGGACATGAACGCCATGCTTGCCGAGGAGTCGCGGGTAAGTCATCATTGCTCCAATTTTTCAATCATCATCTATTTGCTTGTTGTGCGCTAATTGTAAATCGCTTGTTTCTTTCCTCGGCGCAGCTTCACACCACCGAGTTCAATACGAACTGCGCTTTGCATGAGCTGTACAATTACGCAGTCAAGTACAACGAACAGCTGACGGTGACGCTGGAGGAGGACGAGTTCTCGCAGAAGCAGCGGCTGGCGATCAAGCTCGAGCAGGTGCAGCACTTCATGGGTGAGACGCAGCCGTGATATTGGCCCGACCTGACGCGGCCCTCGGCACCGCCCTTCTCGCCGATGCAGCCGTCGGCACCGCAGGAGCTGGCCTGCTGAGCGGCGTGGCCGCAGTCAGAGTACGAGCGCGAGGTGTTAGCTAGACCACATAAGCCCCATACATATCTCCCCCTCACACCCAGCAGCCCCCGCCCCCCAAAATGCGAACTTTGAGAACAACTGTGTGTGTTCTGTATGTATGTTGTTGGATTGCCGTTTTAGTCGTTCGGTGTCTGGAGCGGTGCGCACTCAGTGACTTCAAGTGCCTCTGGTAGGAATGAGTGAACCGTGCTGTCTCTCCCTTCGTTCTCTCTCTCTCTCTATCTATCTATCTCTATCTCTCTCTCTAACACACCAAAAAACACACCCTTCTACCCCAAATCCAAAGTAGTATCGGAAGTTGCGGAAGCTGTAGGACGTAAGAAATTCGTGTACGATATTTTTATGATCCCCCGCCACCAACCAACCAACCAATCTGCTGAGAGAAGAGACTGCGCTTGCTGTCTTCGCGCCTGTCCTATAAGAATTCCTGAGCGTTTAGCCCGTACGTAAATGTAAGTAAGCAACAAAGTAATAACAGTACATGCACATACATCGTCAATTAACGCTTTGGCATCAACTCGAGACATCTCGGCTTCAAACCATCATCTAGTTGGAACTCGGACGGAAAGGTGTATGCGCATGCGAGTAATTTGCCTCCCCCACAACGTATCATCACTATCATCGTAAGAAACAAAACACAAACAAACAAACAAACCTAAGTCTAATTAATCTTAAAACAAGAGAATGCTTTTTTAAAATGATTGTATAATGAATCTATCTTATATTTATCTCCTTGTACAGGTATAATATTTTTATAATTTGTTTATCGCAATCATGAATCATGATATGATTGTCTTCCGGCGCTTCGGCGCGCGCGAAGGAAGCCAGCAGGGTGTATGGTAGCGCGTTTATTTGCGACGTTTCAATCATCGGTGTGTTCGAAATTTGTATCGCCAACCATTTATGTTTCGTGTGCCGTGGTCTGTGTACGTGTCGAAGGCTGTGCATTTCTGTTTATTGTCCAGCCACAGCCAAAGAATCACTCTTCCTCTTCTTCTTCATTCACAAGTCTGTCGCTCTTCTAAATCTCTGTATCATCTCTCTTGCTCTCTGCCTTCTCTGCCTCTCTTCGACCACACCTGAAAAGCACAACCCTCTCGAAGTTCTTGCTTCGGGCGAGTATCAACCAGAACGCAACGTTTTGAGGCTGTAATTTTATAATTTTAGATGTTTTACTACTCGCTGAACAAAAATGAGAAACAAACGAACCAAACTCGAGGATTCTGTACATAATACAACATGATAGGCGTGATGATATGATATGATGATGATGATGATTTATACGTTTTTATATTATATAATATGATTGTCGTTTTATCAGTTGAATGTGCGTAAAGAAAGCAAAAAAAAAAAAGCATTATGTAATCGAATACGAATTGTAACCGTCCTTGCCGATGATGACGATTAATTGTCACTGTCAATGTCTGTCTTGGTCTGCATTTCGTTGCTAGAGTTCCTCCCCTCGATAAGAGGAGAATCCTCGACTTTGTAATAATTTTCATTTTGTAAAACCGCGCGAGCGCGCGCCTGTAACGCCAGTGTGATTCATAGCTTTTTTTACCGAAGAGTACGCAATTCGAGTGTGTGTATGTGATGAGTGTGTTTGTTTCGAGCGCAACATTCGCACGCGCAGTCAGTCACAAAGCAAAGTAACAAGAATTGAAGAAACGAAGAAAAACAAATTGTAATCATTAAGTGTAATATGTATCAGCAGACTTTATATATTGTTTGTTATGTACTTTTTAACTGTATATGTATGTATGTATTCGTCGACAAATCATCGAATGAATTTATATTATTATTTTGCACTGGCTACACAGTCACATAATTTGTAAATATTAGGTGTGCATGCACAGTGTATCCATAGTGTACTGTGTGTATACTCGATTGCATTTCGCAATAATATGAATGGTAATAATGTAAAACTCTATGTTATTATAAAAGACTGAATGGAGTTATTTCAAATACTAAATAGAAAAATCTATAAAACTGCGCTTTATTTCATTTTCATTCGGTGAGTCATCATTCAACGATGTTTAGCCGCAGTTAAATACACATAGTTTTGCGCGATTTTAAAAGTTGAAGTTGCGTTTGTTCGTTTGGTTGCCTATAACAAAAGACTACAAGCAAATTTCAAGGATTTTATCTATCACATTCTCTTTTTGCCTTATCTACACAACATCCGATAGCATCCAAAAAAATAAACAAACAAAATCAATTCAATTTTAAATCAACATGCAAAACGTAAAACTGACTGTGAATTAAATAAATGTGCGGATAATTTCTTATAAATTATTTTCTTTGTGGAAATATATTTAGGTATATGATCCATTTCCCCACTACTAAGATATCTAGCGCACAGGATAATAATTTTCATTCGCACATAGTCATTCACCTACTGCAATCATTCTTGTGCGGATGGCGTATCGCGATCGCCCTGTGAAAATCTCCCATTCTAATTCTCTACATCGCTGCACATCGCGCACACACCACACACGTAAACATGACAATGAGTAACAGCAGGTAATTGTTGTTGATCGGCCGTCGCTTGCTAGTGTAGTCAGCCACTGCGCGCAATATAAACGATAAATTCGATTACGGTAGGACGAGGGCAGTGCTAATTCCATTCGTTTCCCAAGTAACCGTGCACGGTTGTAATCATTTTAATATCAGCTCAGTGCGTCGTCTTTTGTTCGGCTTGCAGTACGCGCGCGAACATCGTCTGCACAAAAGCGTCTTGCATTACTATGGATTGCCAAACATAGGTGAAGGTGAAGTACTCGTTTGCATCACACGGTCAGTAAATGGTAAATAAATTAAGTGCCAACGTCGCGGGTGATCGCGCGACTTTCCAACGCATTTTCAGTGAAAAGCGCTCGTTATTTACATGGCGTCATGATACTGTTTTGGTACACACATTGGTTCTGGATAACAATCTTCATTGTTTACACCTCAGGTGAGCCTCTCGAGTTTCAACAATGTCGCAATTTTCTTCATGAGCGAGCGTTTCAATGTCTAAGCACACGCCTTGTAATTAGGCTAGATTTGTGCATTTTTCATGTTTTTGTTGCTCACTAAATAATTATGTGAGTTTTTGTTTCGATTGTTCATTTCGATTGTTATTAATACAAACAAAGATTTGTCATCATCAACCTTAACAATGGTTTAATTTTTACATGCTTTGCATGTTTAAACAGATGTGCAAACTTTGGAGAGTGATGTTGAATCATCAACGCAACATTCCACAAGCAATGCCACAATCATTGTGGTGCAAAATGTATCCAACTCGACGAAAAGCCCTCCGCCGGCGGCGATTGTTGAGCCTGCAACTCTGCCACCCTCGAATGCAAACATCACCAACGCGAGCGTCATGTTGCTTCCCGCAGGCGAGAACGCGACGAATGCGACATCGTCTGTGATAGAGACACTCGTAACCAGCGCGAGTAGCACGTTTAATGCCACCGAGGAGGAGACGTTGTCCACGCTGGAGACGGCGTACAAAGAGGCTGACAACGAATCCATGACAGCATTTGATCGTTCAGCTCCTGCTGCTGATTCCGGCCGATTATCCGCTGCTGGTATCACCGGTATCACTTTGGGTTGTGTGATGCTAGTCGCACTTGTCTGCGGTGCCAGCTACGTTTGGTACAGGAATCGCGGTTTCAACCGACCACAAGTACTCACCGACCGCAGCAGTAATCTCGACTCCAGCGGTTACATCGACGACACATCAGTGAGGGTATAATCGCCTTTGGACACCGAATAAAAGCATGACTAATCTTTGCTATCTTTTTCAGGACAACTCCGAGGAGATGTACAGTCTTGACAACGATTCATTCCTCAACAGTCTGGAGGCCATGACTATTCAGAATTATTGGACGGACACCGTCAAACACACCAAGCTTTAATTGCCAGTTTTTAATTAATTAACTGGCCGGGTAACGGAATATTTATTTATTTATGCGTCGCGCTTTATTATTTGTTGTTTTGTTTGAAAGTTTTCATATTAATCGTCTAAAATGTACACAAACCGATCATATCCTATTTATTTCTATGTATGAATCATATGAATCAGTGATCATAATCATTTTTAAGTATGTAGGGCAACTTAAAACGGTAAAAGCGATAGCGCGAGGTGTCATCATAAATACATACTACTTATATTCATGACTAATGCGAAATACGTTAAACGTTAAAAAATTGAAAGTCAAGGCGCAAGCAATAAATGCGCATTCATTTGCATGCTATACATTTTATACAATTCCGACTTGTGGGCAAAAAAAAATTAATATTCGGTGAAACTTAATGATTTCCCTTCAATTAAATAAGTATTCTTAGCAACTGTGATGCATATCGTTACATATATTTTTACGTACTCGTGAATGTCTATATTTTTAATGCGGGCGACTTTGCACACGTTATATTCTTGGCACGCCACGAACAAAACAACAACCATAAACGAGCATAACAAGCAATCAACACTGGAAGTCAAGTGCGAATAACGAGCATAATTATTTTCTATTCACTGTTTGACGGTTTTTCGTTTTTAATTGCGTTATGCAAACGTATCCGTATTCCAGTACAGTACTTTGAACAAAGCATTTTTTTGTTATTATTTTGTTTACATATTTTATTTTTTAATTGTACAGTGATTCTATTAGGTAATTGTATCTATGCAAAAGTACAAAAGTAAATTGTACATACGTATGCGTAAATGAATCAAAGCCACACATCACTTATTAACGTATTGAGATTTGCAAACGGCACGATGATTAATATACTCGGTACCTTTGTTTAAGTTTTGGCAATTGTAAGGTTGTTTTATTATAATGTCTAATTTCTAAGGTATTTGCGTCCCAGTTATTACTACATTAGTTATAAATGCACCAAACTAGACTTGATTACTACTTAATTTAGCGCTTGGTTAGTTTAGTTTAATTCGAACGGTCGATTGGCTTTTGCCTTCTGTCCATTAGTCAGGAAACTATCCGTACTTTTAACGATATTATTTTTCTATTCACAATTGTAAGATAATTCCATTTTGAAGACGATGAAGTTGCGTATAACGAAGTTGTGTATTGTTTTAATGACTGAATGTGTTCGCTGAAGAGTTGTGATGACTTGAAGAGATTTTTGTAATTACTTGTATATTAAAGTTAAAAACGTATTAGTGCAATAATAGGTAAATGTAGCAAAATATTCACGATATCAGTAATAATGTGCGGACACATATTACAATAGTGGCCGGAAAGTATTTGTAACTATTAATAATGTACTTTAATTGATGAATGTGTATTATGAACGTACTTTGTAAATACTTTTCAAATATTTTCCTTTATGTTAAAATACAATAGTTTTATAATGAATGTAGGTATTTTGTTTTGTTTTGAATCGCACAGCATTGACCTCTGATATCGCTGCGGTCAATACCTCACGCCATCGGTTTAGAGTGCACATGCATAGATAACGCAGGTATACGTTGTTGTGTTTAGTCGAGCTGGTTCTTCTCGTCGGGTCGGTCGCGAAAATATAATTCGATAATTTGCATTGCATTTAATTGGAATGCAACGTAATTTGTGCTTATTATTGTTATTGTGCGACCGCGTGGCTCATCACCTTCTTTTGGTTGATTTTATGGATTTTGACGACCCATATTTTGTTTCCGTCTATTTTTAAAGAAGGTAAGATTTCAAGTGTTAATCACTCGTATTTAGAGCACCGTATACACCGTTTTTCATCTCGTCGATTTTCAATCTAAGTAGCTTATTTTATAGAGAATTTTCCGTGGACTAAGAATCTGCGATTCGTTCATTTTAATCTTTACTCCGTCTTGTTCTATCGAATTAAATATCACAAAAATAATTTGTGTAAAATGGGGCAGTCTTTCAATATAAGAAATCTGAATTACATAATTCGGATTTTAAATTTTTATTAATTTTTTTAATCCAAATTCCGGGACTACTATTTGCATTATTTATAGATGGCACTAGCATTAACAAAAATTGTAAAATAGACATGTATTGTTTATTTCTGTAGCTATCAGCAAGCGCGAGCATTCGACACGAGAATTGTGTTTGTTTTGAACACAACTTACACTTTCTTATCGCATTCGTCGCGTGGAATGTAAGGCATGAGATCCATCCCCTCACGCCGAATGTTGGCGCATTTTAGTTTAGTTTTGATCGCGGGTAACGCGCCAAAGCGATTCGCGCACAAGGTCACGTGTCACATCGACGCACTGGCTATGCGCATCTCTTGTTTTCTTATCATAAACTGTCACGTCGTTGCTTGCACAGTTTGCAGCCAGTTTCGTGCCGGTATCTGGTTGATCCAATATTTTACGCGACTCGTATTGTTTGTCCGGTCATCTACTTTCCAAATTCGCAGTATATTCGATCATCAATCGACTATTTAATTTCGACTATAGAATTGCTATTTACTGTTTGCGCGTTTATTGTCCATAAATGCCGGTTAAATGTATCGCCTTCATGTTGATTTGATATTCATCATTAGGATGACCCATCGTGATGATGTAAATAATTTTTAACAAAACAGCACAGATTGTTTGTTTTTCTCCACTGTGTGATTATAATATTACTAAGTCGTATGAAATATTTTTGTTTTAACTTATTTTTTCTTTTTTTTTATTTGCAGTGTTTGCCGTGCCTTGGAGTCCATGAGTTGTGCATTGGTAAGTTTATAATTATCAAATCAAATTGTATTTTCGTTGTTTTGATTTATCGCGTTCCAGTGCGTGTTGCAAATATATGAGATAGTCGCGTACTCGGCTGATACATCTCAAAATTAACGGTTTCACTAAAGCGCAAGAGTTGACCTTGAAGATGCAATACAGCGGAATTTCGCCTTAACCATCCCTATCCCATTTTTGTCTCGTTTTTTTAAAATTCGAATTATTACCGATTGAAGATTCTAAATCTTTGGAAAATTTTCTATAAGATAAGGTATTCAAATTGGGAAAATAAGAGAGGTCGAGAATAATTCTTAAATAAAAATTTGCTTTGGACAATTCTTGTTTCATCTCACTGAGAGGTTTTTCATTTACATTTTTAGGAGAATTTTGAAAATTGGTTTCTTTTTATTTACAGTATAATTCATTGATATGACTAGCATCAACCAAAAATTGCTCAAATTTATCAAACGTTTGTGTATAACAACAATTTTTGTGTCGCGTTGCCAGCTGCTCATATTGCATACAGTATATTTCAGTTTAGTTTTGATCGCATATACCTCACGGAATAAAATTATTTTTAATTTTTACCTGATAGAGAATTTTTCTATCTTTCATATTCTTTGATCCGTTGGTCGCTTGCGATTTTAGTTTAAAAGAGGGCAGCGGTAGAAGCGACTTATATTTAGGGCACCGTACGAGGGTAGCGGTTGAAGTGACTCGTGTTCAGGACACCCTACAAAGGTAGCGGTACAAGTGACTCGTGTTCAGGGTATCGTACGAGGGTAGCGGTAAAAGTGACTCGGTTCAGGGCATCGTACGAGAGCAGCGGTAGAAGTGACTCGTGTTCAGGGCACCGTATAAGGGTCGCGGTAGAAGTGACTCGGTTGAGAGCATCGTACGAGGGTAGTGGTTGAAGTAACTCATGTTCAGGGCACCGTATAAGGGTAGCGGTAGAAGTGACTCGTGTTCATAGCACCGTATAAGGGTAGCGGTAGAAGTGACTCATGTACAGGGCTCCGTACGAGGGTAGTGGTTGAAGTAACTCGTGTTCAGGGCATCGTACGAGGGCAGCGGTGAAAGTGACTCGTGTTCAGGGCACCGTATAAGGGTGGTGGTAGAAGTGTTCGCGTAATTATATTTCGATTTTTTTTCATTATTGCCGGCGGACAAGATCTTACACAAACTTGAGTGCGATATTGCAGATACAGAATTTAATTCTCTATAAGGCTATATTTATTTGTTGATGGAGATATGGTTGCACCGTTAGTAATTGCAAAAAAGGTGTTCTTGTGTCCTCGCGTTAATTTGTTGATATTTTTAAAAATTATTACTGACGATTGTGAAGGTTTAGCGTGGAGTCAAGAGATGTGAAATTAAGTTATCCGTCGGGTGGTGTTTGTTTGTTGCAGGAATTCGACCTGCAACCCGCGAAAATTTACATAAAAGGGCGATTTTTGCAACTTTTTTCAATGTTAGTATTTTTTCGGGTTTGTACGCGACCTTGGTGGCTCAATAACTTCAGCGCGGTGTCAGAAGATACGGAATTATACTCTTCGTCGGGTTGTATTTATTTGTTGCCGGAATTCGACCTGCAACACGCGAAAATTTGCATAGAAGGGTGATATTTTTCACCTTTTTTCTTTAAAATAATTTCTGCGCGGCGTCAAGATATGCGGAATTAAATTCGCCGTCGGGGTGTATTTATTTGTTGCATGAATTCTACAACAAAGACTATTATGACTATTGTAATTACAATAAATCTATTTACATTTGATTTATGTGTTGTCATCATCATCATCATCATGTCGTTTTAAAGACTTAACAGTCTGTGATTTGTGTTTGCTATTTGATAGATTAAATTTGAAATCATGCGTCATATAGATTTGACTTATTGCATTTTTATGTAAATTTGCTAGTTATTTAGAGAGGGTGATGCATGCGCACTTGCTTGTACGTGTCTCACATGTTCGCTGCTGCTTAAGTGCGTGACTACTCACTGCCTCATAGACAATTTCGCACTGACACACATGCGCGCCACACTGTTTGAAACACTTTGTTGTTTTGTGAGGTACTATAAGGTGTTCTCAGATGGCGTAACAATGTAGGTTTACCTGGAAATATTCCAGCGAGAGGATTTTGTTTTGTTCAAACGGTGCGATAACGACGAGCGCACATTCTACACTTTCGACTTGTGTTATTCTTTGATGTATGTTCGGTAAATCGTGTTATATTTACTGATAGCCGGTGATAATTAGTGTCCATAAACGTGTCTGATCTTTTATAAGCTATTTATCAGGTGTGTAATCTTCGTAATTGTAAATTTTGCGTGTTTAATTTATTGACGTGTGCGTGAGTCCGTTGCCGTCGGGCGATGGCCGATGAAAATATCAAAGCTATGAACGCTAATAATTAATTGACTTGTGAAAAACGTATTTGTCATCATCATGGGAGCATGGATGTGCTACCTGGTAAATATTGTTATTCCTATGATTATTATGCGAATGACAAGAATTTTAATTCAAAGTTTGAGTTCCGACGGAACTCAGATTCATTACAACATAGCACAAAATGCTGTAGCTTATGTTTTGTTTCACATTTATTTCAGTATTCGCCAACTTGCCGTCGATATACCGTCTTCCATAACCGGTATGTAAAATAATTTCATTATTTATAGTAACTGTTTGCCGTGTTAGTGTAGTGTACCTAGATTGCAATATTCCTCATCACCTCATCTTAGTAACATTTATATATCACTTAAATATTTAATGTTAAAAACGAATAATCTTTCACCATAAGAATTTAAAATTACATAAATAGAATTTTAATTTATCATTATTCCACTTTCTTTAACGCCATGCGAATAGCAACGTCCAAGATTGCCGAGTGTTGTCGTTGCCATCCTTTCGCGCCTCGCTCTGCTTTTCTAGTTTAGTTTAGTTCGCATGTATCGGGTCTATTGCAATTTGTGCGCGGGCAGTCGCCGCGGCCATCCTTGCGCCGGCTTTGCGCGTTCGGGCAGCACGTAGTCTTATCAAGAACTGTTGCGACCGTGTTTGCTTCGCTGAGGTACAGCATGCACTAGTTTAAGACTTTGCCGTATAGAGAATTTTCAGTAGATTAATAATTTTCAATCCGTTGCCCTATGTTGTTTCCAGATATTAAAATAATAGAAAATGAAAATGTCCAATTTTTAGGACTTTTAGACATTTTCGAGATTTCCAATTTAACTAACTTATTCTACAGAGAATTTTCCGTAAATTAAGACTCTGCCATTCGTTCCTTTTTATCGTCAAAAATTGAAAAATTGCAATTTTTAGCACTTCCAGTCGCGGTTTTAGGCCTTTTACTCCATTAAATTAAATTATTTTAAATTTCCATCAGTTTCCATTTCCACAGTAACTTCGTAAAAATTTTCCTAGATGCCGAATTTAATTCTGTATCTCCCGGTATCGAAATTTATGGCAAGAAAATTCCGTAACGCGAGTTATATTGAAAGTTGTGTGTGTGTGCCTTAGTACTTGTTGCCCTACGAATTCTAGTTTTATTAGTATAACACGCGAACGCGGTGTCACAGTAACTTCGGAAAAATTGTCCTAGTTACCGAATTAATTCTGTATCTCCCTGTGTCAAAATTTATTGCGATAAAATTTCGTAATGTGAGTTATATTGAAAGTTGTGTGTGTGTGACTTAGTATTCGTTGCGCTAGGAATTGTAGTTTTTTATAGTATAACACACGGACGCGGTGTCACAGTAACTTTGGAAAAATTTTTCTAATTGTTGTTTTTTTTTTATTATAACACGCGAACACGGTTTTACTGTAAGTTCGGAATAATTTTCTTTGATGCGGAATTTAATTCTGTATCTCCCTGAATCGAAATTTATTGCCAGAAAATTCCGTAACGCGAGTTATATGTACAATTGTGTGTATACGCACTTGTACTTCTTGCGCTATGAATTGTAGTTTTTTTTATTATAACACGCGTACGCGGTCTTACTGTAAGTTCGAAATAACTTTCTTAGATGCGGAATTTAATTCTGTATTTCCCTGTTTCAAAATTTATTGCGAGAAAATTCCGTAACGCGAGTTATATTAATAGTTGTGTGTATACGCACTTGTACTTCTTGCGCTAGGAATTATAGTTTTTTTTATTATAACACGCGAACGCGGTCTTATTGTAAGTTCGGAATCATTTTCTTAGATGCGGAGTTTAATTCTGTATCGCCATGCATCGAAATTTATTGCGAGAAAATTCCGTAACGCGAGTTATATTGATAGTTATGTGTATACGCTCTTGCACTCCTTGCGTTAGGAAGCGTGGGGGATGGTGGTTAGGTAGGCTGCCTTGTTTGGTAATATTTATGGGGCGGTGGGGGGAGGTAGAAGAGACCGGTTAAGAGTACGGCACGTACTTAATACTACCCTGCAGACTTGCACATAACAATAAAGCCGACCCTGCACATGTAAAACACTATCATAACATCCTGTATATAACCTTGAACAAAAAAGACACTACGAGTCCGACGGCTATGCCAGCGCCGTTTTTTTATTATAACACGCGAACGCGGTCTTACTGTAAGTTCGGAATAATTTTCTTAGATGCGGAATTTAATTCTCACTGTGTTGAAATTTTTTGCGAGAAAATTGAAAAATTGTCATTTTTAGCACTTTCAGTCGCTGTTTTAGACTTTTTACACCATTAAATTAAATTATTTTAAATTTCCGTTTGATAGAGCATTTTTCAATCTTCCATAATCAATAATAAAAAGTCACTTTGTTGAAAATCGTGGCAGTAAATTGTCATCAAAAATTAAAATTTCATCTTTTAAATTTCCATTTTAACTAGCCTTATAGAGAATTTTCCGTAGATTAGGAATCTGCAGTTTATTCCTTTCTATCTCTTTTAATTTACGTGATATTTGTAATTGAAAGAAATGAGCAAAAATTGAAAAATTTCACTTTTGAGCAATTTTAGTCGCATTTTTCGACTTCATTAAATTAAATAATTTTATATTCTTATCTAATAGAGATATATATCCAATATTTCATAATCTACTATTAGATTTTCATTTTAGCTAGCTTATCTTATCGGAAATTTTGCGTATATTAAGAATTTGAATTTTGAAGTCGTGGTGTTGTAAATATCAATTATTTAATTAACTTAGGTATACAGTAAACTTATGCAAAGACAATTAGAAAACAATGAATTATTTATTTGTATTGGTAAATTACAAATTCCTGATTTTCTTCATCCTTATTGCATCCCAAAACCAATATATTCTTTTCTTATGCCGAGAAATATTGAAAGTAAAAGTAGATTTCGTGTATGTGTGTTATTTCAATATTGTGAATTTTTACTTTCGTCTTCTTAACTACGTGTTTACCACTACGTTTGTGTATAAACAACTTTTTTGTTCGACTGACGCTACGTACGCTATCGCTTATCGCTACGTACCCTGCCTTGTACTTGGCTTCGCGCAGCGCATACAGCAGTCGTTTCACCGCGTGGTTCGCGAACGCGTCTCTCTAATCGCCATGCGTTTTCAGACTTCAATTATTCATTTAATCGTCGTGTTTTCTTTTCATCATCAGCAAAATATTCGTTACGAGCATGTATGCTTGTTTTGTTTGATGAGTTGTGGCGGTTAGAGTGTTCATAACTGAGAAATAAGTGTCCGTTAATCTCTGCGCGAGTTTTCGGTAGATAATATAATAATATATTATATTTTCGGATCTAAAATTTCTTCATCAATGCATTGGTAGGTGTTTAAACACTTTTTGTCGCAAGAAGTTAAGGCGGTTTAATTTAAATTGGTTATTCCATTTAAGGGATATTCATTTTGCAGATTACAAACACATGGTAGCATTTTTATCAGAATTCTTACTTCATTTTCACAGTGTTAAAAAGTATCTGAGGATTATTAAAATGACAATATTTATGTGGTCAACGTTTTTAATCGAATTACACTTCTTATCATCATTAAATTAAAAAGTTTCGTGTTGATCTAATAAAATCTTGTACGTTGAATAGTTTTTCGCTATCATAGTCTACATACATCTTAATACTTACAAGTAAATAGTAAGTAAATAGCCGTCTGCTGATTTAGATGTTTTCCACCGGATGTTCTATCAATTTATGATGATGCTTCACCCGTCGGTTACCTTATGCAGTTGATGCTGTCATCAAATAATAAATATATACACAATATATTAAAATGAAAGTGTTTTATTCTTGTAACACCATTTTTACTGAACTTCTCCGATGATTTTCGGGTAAATCTTTGAATTTATGTTAAAATTGTTTTGGTATAAATTTCTCTCGACATGATATGAATATTGACCATTTTTGTAGTTTCCAATTTTTTGCAACACCCTGTATATTAGTTTTCCCAACAGTACTTAGTAAATCGCCTTTATTTGTGAATTTTGAGTGTTCTTTGTTTTAAACTTGGGGTTTTCCTTCTGGAACACCCTATATATTTGCTTTTCTTTTGTCCGTGAAAACTTTCCTTCAGCTGTGGTTTTAGGTCTTTTTAGAGTTTAGATGTTTTCCTCTTTAATGTTTGAATTTTCTATTTGTGTCACCTTGTATAATCGTTTTCCTTCTCATCTCTGAAAATTTTGCTTTGACTGTTTTTAGAATTTAACTTTTTTGCACTTTGAATTTTCTATTTGTAGCGCCCTGAAAATTGGTTTCCCAGAGTAACGGTGAGAAACCAGCGATAGTTATGTATATGTGTTTTAAATCACGAAGAAAATTGACTTTGCTAATTGTTTTATCCCGCTAGAACTTCACTAAGTAGTACGCGCTTACTTACGCGGCTAAGCAGGTCGTAATTCCAATTTCAATATAGCGAATTGTGAATTCTGTTGACTGTATTATTTTACATTGTATTTATTAATAAAGAAATGTTAAGAAATATTATGTCTTCTGCTTTGAATGTACCCTTTCTATCATTTCAGGTACAGGTCTCTAAGAGAGGTCCCTCTCTCAGGGGATGATCCCCACTATAAAAATTGTTAAGGTATCCTGTATGACTTGTATACTCCATCTTTCATTTCAGCTACAGGTCAGAACTTGTAAGAATATTTGTAAGTGTCCCCTCTCTTGAGACGACTTAAAAATTAGAAATATTTTTACAAGTCCTTAAAAGGACGTCCTTATAAGGAGTTCCCTCTCTCTGGGGGTGATCCCCCACCATAAAAATTGTTGATATGCCTGAGTATTTCGGGGATGAAGCGCAGAGACATCGTAGCTGTAGGATGGGCCGGGAGCAATGGACGCATCGAAGCAGTGGGCGATCGACCAGAGCGCCGGAGGCGCTCTGGGAGATCGACCTGTGACTGTCTTATAACGACACGTGCCAAAAAATTTAAAAATTCTGATCCTCCCTGTTCTTCTCTTTCTTCTATCTCCTCCTCTCTACTTGTTTCTCTGCAATTCTCTTCTTCTACTTCTCCTATTCTCTGTTCCTCCGTTTCTCCACTTACTTATTACTTACTTACTATTGCTCTCACTGTTACTTCAATTTCTCTTATATTTCGTTGCAGTTCATATATGCAACCCAAATTTCACGTGTTATTTTTATATTTGAGAAAAATGCTTCCTATACCTGGGATTCGATCCGTGTCTACCAGCATGCCAGCAGGTGCACGTGTCCACTCGACCACCGAGTTTTTTACCGTTTATATTTGATTCTTTTATTTATATGTTTCTACTTTATGTAACTTTTAAAACCACAACACAAGTCTCAGATATGTTACACTTGCTGCACGCGTTTAATATCTATAGTCTATATTGATTGTGTGAAAAGCTCATATACTGAAAACGGCAAAAAGGATACCACAAAGCAAATATGAATGAGATATTAATTGATATTATTTTTATTTTATTAACTACATTTACAAATATAAACATTTATTATACAGAAAAAATATCGACAACTATTAAATGCCGCATAGAAGACTTGCCTTAAAATATGCACATCTCCAACACTTCTTTCATGGATATCGCAGATTCCATGACTCCTATTATCAAAAACTGGGCACCAACGTTGTCTATCAGCAGGAATTAATAATAAATCCAAGTTTTGCCAATATGCGAGATGATAAACGACTGCCGATGAACACGCACGCGGCGCACAAACAAATTACGAGAAAATGCGTTCAGCCGATATCGCAGCGCATATTGCGCTAAGAAAAATATAGATAGCCGACGCACAAAACAATAAGGCTAGCACCAAAGCATTGACTTGTTACGCCAAAGAACAATGGAGGTACGCGGCGGATTGGTTAAGTTAAGTTGAGGAATAAACACGCACACCACAAACCACGGCGTAGAGAATACTGAGCTGCTAGATTGAGAACAATGTTGGAACCAAAAGAAAGCGATACTAGCGCCACCTACACGTGGGATAAGAAAACTCAATAAATACCACGATACTATCGCCATCTAATTGCAGGGATTCGAACTACAATGCAGCAAACTGTAATTGGAGTATTACAGGAATCAACTCTCCCCAATTTTACCTTTGAGTATTACATTGTTTTATGTGCGAAAATCGCAATTAAATAATAAAAATCACATTTGTTACTTATGAGAAACAGATAAAAACCTTTATTACTTTTGTTTTACTTATCAGAGCAGCTAAACCTAATAAACATCTTATGTACATATGAAATTTTGAAGTGACTCCTCATCGGAATTGTGTTCTTGAAATAACTTCTAAGACTTTATCAAAACTATTTTGAATTAAAAACTAACATAAAGATTTCTACCGTGTTAATGAGACAGTAACGAATGTGTTACAGGTGTACTTTCGAAGAATTTTGTCGTGCTTTTCTTGCGTCCGGAATTTATAAAATATATGACATGCGGAGCATGTGAATTCAACAATAATTGTTAATTTAGAAGCCCGCAAGTAGTTACAATCACCACTGCATTTATGCTTCCTGAACATGGATTTTCCATCAATTAATAAATTGCGTTTGCTTTTTAACAGAATAGCAATA